GAATCAAATCCTCAAATTGCACCTTCACTAGGAAGAGGTTTTTCTGCCTTTACCCAAGAAATAGAAAGGCTTGAAAAATATAAGGAATTAGAGGTATAAAAAGATTCTCTTTAAATCCATTTGATAATATATACACACTATAGATTTATCTGAATCAAAATGTTAATTATAAAACCTCTTTTTATTACACAAAAAGCAGCTTTATCTATTAAAAGAAAATATACTATATACATGGAAATTTTCGCCCGCGTTTTACTTTTTGCCCCTTTCGCCTTTGTCACAAGTAGGCGAATTTAAAATGAGGCAAATTAAAAGAACACAGTAAAAATTCTTAGACAGAACTGTGACTGAGCGAAATTTAAAACGGGGCAAAATTGTTAGTAAGTGCAAAAGGACGAAAATAACATGGAGCGAAAATAACCCTGTATACAGTAATTAAGATAAGATAATCATTTTAAATTTGTTTAGCTCTCATTTAATTTTATTACAGAAAATTACTGAAGAGGATAAGAAGAAAGAGAACACAGATCTTTGGACTAGCTGGTTTAAAACATATACTGACAGACTGAAGGAGGAAGCAGAGGGAGTTACTGACTTAGAGGCAGCCAATCAGAAGAGAAAAGAGGTCATGAACTCTACGAACCCAAGGTCAGAATTTTTTTGAATTTACATGTATTTTTAAGTACATTGACTTAAAAGTGATCCTTGTATTTTCAAATGGAGAATAAATAGATTGTGTTTCTATAGAGGTTTAAAGCACTTAGACAAAAAATACTCCTCCAAAAATGCCTCAAGCCTTGATAACTGTTACTTGGTTTTCAGGTTTATTCTCAGGAACTACATAGCCCAGAATGCAATAGACGCAGCTGAAAAGGGAGATTTTTCAGAGGTGCGTCGAGTGCTGAAGGTTTTGGAAACACCATACAGTGATGAAACAAATCTGGAGAGTCTCCTTCAGAAACCAATGGGTAAGAAAGTGCTAACTCTGGAATTTCATTCAGTTCAACCCTTGTAGTACAAAATTGTCCAAAATATTCAGTTCACCAAAGAAGATTTTCAGATTTATAGAGGATATTGAAAATATTACTAACTTAGATATCTTTGCTAACCAAGTATATCTGATTTATATCCCCTCATCTTCAACAATCTTTGTGTAAAAACAATTCAGACTTTCAAATAGCACAGTAGAGTCATACTCCTACTAGTAAGAGCCTTGGTTAATGTCTCTGTGTTCCTTATCGTTACGCGGCACCAAGTCAAAAGAATCTCGCCGTGAACCTGTAGCATGCTGGAGTAAGTAGAGTCCGGGTTTGTTGGGAGAGATTGGAATTTGAAATAATTATTGATAAGCCAAGAGGCTAGGCACCTTGTAAAATCATTCGTAAATAGGAAATAACATAGATTTTCAGTATTTTATGCTTATTTCTTACAAAAGATTTACATGTATATTCTTACAGAAGCTTCCAAAGGGGCAACTGAGGAAGAAGTTGATTCCAGTGGTGATTTACCAAGAACATTTGTAGGACAGTTTTACGATGATAAGCCACCTTTGTGGTCAGCTGACCTGAGGGTTACATGATCCTCGTAAACCACACAGAATCTGCCTGTTCCTCAAGACTGGACTGTGAATTAATTATTGTCACATTATATAAAATCTGATTTAATTCAGATAATTATATGTATAAACAGTGGTAGTTATGGTGAGAAACTGATGATTCAATACTCACAAATCACTATTCCTAAAACTTTTCAAAATTATTGGGCATCTTTCAACATTAGTGATCAGAATTAGAATTCTTCAATATCAGTTTATTGATATTCCCATTTTCATGGGATTGTGTCCGAATTTGTTATTATTCCTCAATATTGAATATGGCCCGCACCTCCGAATATGACATTTATGAGAACTTAATGAACTTGTGTGTAATTCAATGGCTGTGTAAACATGTCTTCCACAATGGTTATTTGTAATGAGACTTCACAGCAGTGATTTTATTAATTAGTTAGGAACAGGCAGTCAGTTCTGTGTGGTATTAACAGATTCAGGGATACAGATATTACATGATCTAAAGAAATGCAGCATTTCTTTGTTTATGATAGTTCTGAATTCAACCTTAGTTAATAGGTATTCAAAACTTGAATTTTATAGTCATGTATAATTGTAGCCTTGGATTATTAAATTCGATAAAGAACATTTTTGTTGTATTATTACAAATAATGTTTTTTTTAACTTTATTGATTCTATGTTGAGTCAAAAGTGACTTTAACTATGTCTATTTTTATTTCTCTTCATGAAATATATCGGGGAAAAATATATTTTCGAAACGGCAAAAATTAAAGCTTTAATTGGTTATATTAATGGTCATTAGACATACTGTTGGAGCAAGCTTTTAATTTTTTTTGAGAACCTTATAATTTTTGTTGATTTATTCAGAATGGTGTTAGATTTTCGGAAACAAGCTACTTTGATACAGATGATATTTAACGATATGAAGAAAAAAAAACTTGTACATGAATATGCTTTCTCATATTGTTAATATGTCCAGGATGTATTGTGTAAGATAACTTGTTATTTAAATTATAATTAAGAAAAAAATTCTGTTGTATTTCATTGTACTAGTTACAGGAAGGGAGAAAATTAATGGTTGGACCAGGAATCAAACCAATAACCTCTGCATTACAAGTCAGGTGATTTAACCACTTGGTTATTAAGGCTGATGATCATGGTTCTTATAGCTCAAACCTCAGTGACACATTGCGCCCTCCTTAAGTTGTTCTTCATCTCAAAGACACACAAGCAATATAATTCTCATTCTATCAAATATCTTAAAATTGTCCCTCTGAGTAACACGTCAAAAATGCTTTTATATGATTTCTTTCAGCATTTAAAACTAACAAACTACTGGTGTTTAAAAACGTTATTCTAATATTTTATTACGAACAATCACAAGTTTATTCTAGTATTCTATTAACAACAATTACAAATTATGTTAAAGAAACATCGTGTAAAGAAAATGGAAACAATCAGCATTACTTGATTGATCTTAAAAAAGTTAAGAAAAAAGTATTTAAAAATGCAAACTAGATGATTATCGAAGAACTAATGCAATACTACTATACAATCAACAGAGCTCTTTGGCAACGCACTTTGAAATAATTTTCAAAGTGCGTTAAAATTGGGACAAAATCAATGCACTTTGAAAAAAAAAATTCAAAGTGCGTTAAATTTGGGACATACTCAACGCACTTTAAATTTTTTTTTCAAAGTGCGTTAAGAGTGTACAAAACATTTTAATCATGGAAACACATAACGCACTTTGAAAAAAAAATATGCATAAAACAAATTCTAGACTTATGGATTTTAGTTATTGAGAGATCAACTTGAAATAATTATATCTTTTGAAAAACTTTTTAATTTACATGTACTCATTTAACCTCATTCAGAACAAGGAGAAGACGAGTAGAAGGTCTCTCAGCCAAACTCTTTTTTTTCTTATACATTGTACATGTATAAGAAAAAAAAGAGTTTGGCTGAGAGATTCTTGCAGAAAACATCCATATTACTATTCCTCCATTTTCTTGGGATAAAGAATGTTTAAATAACATCTAAATGAAGGGAAAATTACGTTAGTATTGCGGGATAATCAAACTGAGGGAGATAGTCTTCGACTGACCAAAGCATGGCTGTTCTTAAAACAGTTCTGATTAAATCAAACCAGATCAAATGCAGCGGAGACTCAGTTTGTTGGGATAGCCATCATTTCCTTGGGGGAATTTCAAAGATTCTCTAGATCTATTATAACTTAAAGGGTTTTTATCATGCTTCATGATTTTTTGATATAACAAGGTTTATACGCTATTAAAATCGTACATCAAATTTTTTTGGTTAGAAAATTAATATTTTGGGTGTTTCAGCGATTCAAAGTTTAAATTTCTCAATATGCATATTTTGATCGCCGATGTTGCGCGCCATTGCTCTGACGTCATAGGTGTCAGTCCTGGTCAAGCGAAGTACTTATTGTGTTTACAAAACAACTCAATGGCTTCGTTTTAAAACCTTACTAGCAATTAAATAAATGATAATTGGTTAATTGATAGATAATTAGATATAATTTGTGGCGTTTGGATGAAAAATCAGCACAGGAAAGGTTTTAGGAAGTTTTTTTACTTGCCAGGGACTTGGTCGGTGCCTGGATTTGTCTCCATTCAGAGCATTCGTTAAAGTACGATCACAATTTTTCTGCATTATATAAAATATCTATTTGATGGAAATAGTATTTTTCAAAAACTAATAATTTATCAAAAGGCATTTTTAAAGTCCGACACACACATCATGCACTAGTCTATGTGTTGTGAAGTTCGTAATGGCGCACGGCGCCATTGAAGATCGAAGTGGCCTTTCTATCAAATGATGTTCATTGCTGGAACAGATAGAAGATGCACAAGATCTGTTTATGTATAATTTATTACAATAACGAAGAAAGAAAACGTATAACGACCATTTTTATAATTATTTAAGAAGTCAAAGGTTAATAATCCGATCTATTCAGTCGAAGTCAGGAGTTGTCATTAACGGCTTCGTCTTCAATGCCCTATCCTCCTTTCACGGTATGTTTTTTGTTTATTTTTCTGTTGTAGAAGTTAATACATATAAGACTTAGCATCCATAGCCAATGTTATATTGTCAATATCAAAATTTCTTCCAACATAGTGGTGTATTCTTTTTATTTCATGCAAATATCTATACGGTAGATGTTTTCTTACGATACGCTTTACGAGGTCTAATTGCCCATTGACACCTATGACGTTTCAGTACCACGTGACCCCTATCTAATTAGTGGAGATTTTCAATCTGAAGACCCTACATTACGGACGTATTATGGCTTTAATACGACAGTTTAAAACATTATTTTATAATTTAACGATAATTATATGTTCCAAGTATATAATAGTGTATAATTTTTAAGAAATTTCTTATGCGTGATAAAAACCCTTTAACATATCTTATCCTTTACAGAAGTCCTCCTTAGGCAATTAAAGTCTTACTATACGACATTGTAAAATGAAACATATTTCAAAAATACCTTAGCACGTTCAACGATTTGCCGATCACTGTATCTAATGTGGAAAACCAAATTTTGCTGATATCTTATTTTCCCGAGAGAGTTTGGCGAGCAAAAAGTCTCGTGAAAATACACAAAAATAATTTTGTCGCTAATAAAAAGTGATTTACAGCACATATCCCAAACCATTGCAAGAACGATGGCACGTGACTCCTGTTAGGGAACAAATAAATAGTCTGGCGGAGGAATCTCGCAAAGTTGTGGGTACTCCGACTCGTTGTCTTTGCTATACCAGGAGAAATTGGTGACTGACAGTGCGATATGTGGTTTTTCTTCGGTGGTTCCCTCGCCCTCGGCCCAGTTTGTGTACTTCAGAGATGTTTTCGTGTCACTGTAGTACCATGTGTCTCCCTCCTTTTCTCCCTGGATGAAGACAAATCCCTCGGAGGTTTTGATATCTACTGAAATAAGATTAAATATCCTTTTGCAAAATTCATTACTTCTAATTTCTTTGGCAAGTTTGTGCATCTCTTCTAAATGGCACCTGCATGCCTCCAAGTACCTCTTTGAAATTAACTAAAACGTTTAGTTTGATATTTCTTTTCAAATTTAGTATAATTCTCTGTTAACCTTGGACTTTCAGTAAGGCGTGATATTCTCGACGTTTCATAATTAGCTTCTGAAATTTACAAAGCTTTCGTTCACTGTTGAAATATGCATGGGATAGAAATTCGGGCGAATGTCAACGAGTTTAGCAAATACCCGATAACAGCGTCTCGTACGGCAAAAAAAGGGGGGGCTCAAGTCGTCTCCTCGTTGTCAACAACAAGTTAAAGTTCCTGGTTTCAATATTAATTCTTAACCAATGAGAATCTGTGATTTCGTCATTTAAGAGATGCTAATTACGTAGCGCTCGCCGAGAATTCCACGTCTTACCGAAAGTCCAAGGATGACAGAGAATTGCACTAAAACATTTTGCTAATTATATAAGTAAGCGTGTTACATTAGCATTTTTGTACTTACTAGATCGTAGGTAGTCCTCAACTCTCCACTGTTTGGCCGGACTGTCAATTCTGACAAGGTTTGCCTTTCTATTCACATTGCCGGATGCCATGGCGCTGTTTGCTCGACAATTCAGTGTAGAAGCTACATGGTTCAGTTTACCCGGAAAATATTGAAAACAGAAACACAGATCTGGTGTAAATGAGTACTCCTGAGGGCAAAAAGTTTCGTCAGAACCGCACTCTGAAAAAGGGAAAAAATAGAAAGTTGTTAAATAGTACGCAATAAAAAACATGGTTATTATATGATCGTGCCCCCTCAATAACAACGTTATAACATCTGATGAATTTTTTTTTTTTTTTTGGTAGTTAATAGTTCCACAACTTGAAAGTATATAGCGATCCCTCTTCTTAAGAGCCTGAGTCTGGTAGTTCAACATAGATTTTGAAAAATGTGAGTACAAATGAGTTTTGGATGTGGTAAAAATTCGAAATTAACAAAGAAATTGACAAAATTTTGGATTAATCTTACTTTGTAAATTCTAAATTATCATTATGGTTAATTTTGCAATTCTGTATATTAATATTATTATGTATAGTGTCAAATCGGACGATTTTTAGTAACCTGTTATTCGATTAATCGTCCGATCGAGTACCAGGGTACCCGGTTACTCGGATGACTTATTTATCGTTTTAGTTTCCATGCATATCTATTATTTATCGCATCCATTACACCGTGCTAGTAATAAAACATAATTATACTCAACATAAACTTTATTTATCAACTAAAAAACACACACACGCACAATCCTCAAAGAATTTAAATTTTAGAGTAAAGGAAATTAAATCAACACATAAAGAAGACAAATGAATATTCAGTGTTCCAAAACATTTATAATCATAATGGACTTCGTTATACTTTCAGCCCCCGATATATTTCGCGATCAAATACTTCCAAGATACAAATGTCTTTGGCGCGGCATCTTTTTTTGAATTGTTAAATAAGGTAATAACTCAGGTCTTCAAAACTTGTTTACCCCTGACAATAAAAGCTATCAATTAAATGTGAAAACTTTTTAAAAGTGAAATCTCTCTTCGAGGTCCGATGATTAATGATAAAGCTTTACATTCTTTAAAAAATAATAGTGTAGTTGTTTCTTCTGGTATCAGGTCAAAAGTATTCAAAACACAATCTAAATCTCTCTAAATTTACTTTGAATTTAAAAATGTTAGGGATGTCAACGAATGGTCGACTAATCGACTATCAGTCGAATGGGCCGACGATCGAATAATGAAACAACATTCGAATATCAAATGAATGGAAGAAAAGGGGGTGATAATGAAATTTTCATCTCAAAATTGAAAAAGGGTTCTCCCTCAAACTATACAGCTTTTTGGGTATGCCCTCAGACGAATAAGAGCTCAAACACAGTCACAGTATATAAATAATTTTCCACATTGTACATATGGAAAATACAGTAATTACATACCGAGATTATTATTTCTCAATCACTGACTTTTTTTTTTGGCACGTAGTAAATTATGCAACGCTATACTGGACTATGAAAAATATTTAATTGACTTGTACCAATTATGTATTTATAAACTCTAGGAATTTCAAATGCTTAGGAACACACAATATTTGCATAGCTGTGAAGTTTTAAAGTTCGATAATTATTAAAACAATAATCTTACATAAAAGACATTTTGATATATGCTTGGCAACATTAATCATGTTAATTGAACAAACAGTATTTAACATTTTCATCAGAGGTGTGGATAGATTGTGTTGACAATTCCCCATTTCAATTTTCCAATTTATTTTAATTAATAAGATTTCAAAAACACTGTTCTATAAAAAAAATAAAGAAATGTTGTGAATAGTCGACTATCGTTCGAATAATGCAATCGAATGTTCGACTAAGGAAAATTAATATTTTGGCATCCCTAAAAAATATTCTTCATAAGGATATGGAGTTAACGAACAGTATTCAATCTCAAAGTCCATTAAACAATACAAAATAGGAGCAGAGCAAACATGGACCTCCGAAACATCAGAGGTGGGATCAGGTGCCATGGAGGAGTGAGCATCCCCTGCCGACCGGTCACACCCGCCGTGTGCTCCTTGTCATGATCAGGAAATGACGGAAAAAATCCATCTGATTTCATGACTTTTCAGTACAATGGAAAAGTTTGAATTGACATTAGCACCATGCAGTATCCTTCATGCGTCATAACTTTTTCAGATGCTGAGCCTACATGTACCTCTGATGTTTTGGAGATCCGTGTTTGCTCTGCTCCTGTTTTGTATTGTTTTATGTACTTTTGTACTGTTCGTTATCTTCATTCCTTTCATGCTATATAAATACTATCATTTAGTTATTGATAAAAAAGGCTCAACTGGCATTCGAACCGGCGCCTTTCGCATGCGAAGCGAGAATTATTTTCAAATTTTTATTTCCAGTGCGAGAATCTTTCGCCTCGGTCATCGACGAACTTATAGCAATGAATTAAATCCAAGCAATAGTATGGAACGCCGTAACTGCCTTATGTGCAGAACTTGCATTATATGCTTGTACTTTGTCATTATATGATGGTATTTTGTCATTATATGATGGTACTTTGTCATTATATGATGATATTTTGTCATTATATGCTGGTACTTTGTCATTATATTATGGTATTTTGTCATTATATGCTACTACTTTTCATTAATACTACTTTTCATTATACTATTTTTCATTTTACTACTTTTCTTTATACGTGTACTACTTTTCATTATACTACTTTTCTTTATACTACTTTTCATTAAACTACTTTTCATTATTGCCTGACGTCACGGCATCCGGCAGTATAAGGATTGATATTTCCAAGATCCGAAAATGTGCGACCATATCTAAAGAGCTAGATTTTGTGCAAGCTGATTTACATTGGAATTCTTTACCTGCATTTTAAAAGAAACAGTCTTCAGAAAAAAGAAAGATATTACTGATGCGAAATACTGCAGTGTTTACTTCCTTTAATCTTTTTGCATGGAACAGATTATTCCATATGATTTGCCGTTTCAACATGTCCGTATATCCTTTTTTCTGCATTTCTATACTACTGGATGAGTCCATTTATATTCTACGAAAAGGGTGAATCGCTCTTTCCGCGCCAAATGTCACTAGTGAGCTATCTTCGCGCCTTTTCCTTGGATTGTTCTATTGTATGAATGGGTGTGCTAACTTCCATGGAATTAAATAAAGTTTGTCCTTTTAACCAGAAATTCTATCTACAAGTTTTATTCCATTTTTTAAAACAACATATCGTATACATCAGTATACATGGTATATGGACATGTAACACTAAAGAAATGATGTTTCTAATTTGTTTACCGATCCCGCGGTTGGTTTATTCCATAAATGGACGAGTCCAATAAAAATAAACAACGCAGTTCAAGCCATCGTCTCCAGATGCATGGTCTATTATATGTCTTTGTTCAGATGCACACGATAAATAAAAAAGTAGTGAATAATCTTGGATATTTCTTTCTACAAAGCCTAACTATTGAATTTACTTATTTCATTCTCAATATATCATGTATTATATGATAGTGTCATCACCCTTCCCTTTTAAGAAAAAAAAATAATGAACACACATTACTACTGTTTACTTCAGAGGAGAAAATACACTCCAACAAAATGTGTTTTTAATTATATCCATCTTTTAAAATGTTCACAATGCGTGATTTGACAACAGATTTTATAATATGTGTTACAATGTAGCTTGAAATCAATTTAGATCCAAGGGCAGATCACTCCACTTGCAGACACCCCCCCCCCTTCAACTACAAAGTTCTTTAGTATGCAGTGTGGAGATGATTCTTCTACAAGTTCAGTAATATCAAGATTTCAATTACATAGGGTTCTCAAAATATAAAGTTAGGATATTTTTTAAACCCACAAAGTATTGCTCAAAAGGGTTATCACTCTTCATGCAGATAAATTGATTGATTTAGTCAGGCAAGCTTTTTAAAAAGCTGTTACTTGTACTACTTTTCATTATACTACTTTTCTGTATACTACTTTTCATTATACTTTTTCTTCATTATTTGTAGTCTCGATCATCCAGACGCTTGTCTTTTTAACACAAATTCGCTGTTCCTAGACTGGCAGTACGAAATCGAGGATCAGACAGGCAAGCAAGTCTAGGTGTCGTAACAGTATTTCACTTGGGTTCACGTCAAATCATGGCTGACGCAGAATAATCCCGGAATCTTCCCTTCCGATTCTGGCATTTTGATACGAGACTGGAGCTGAATTTTTTTTATGAAAAACAACATGTAAACTTCCTGCATTGACCAGATTTATTAATATTTAGTGCGTGATTTTTCTATATACTGTCAAGAGTGGGGAGTGATTAGGCCCTAGACTAGATTTTCAAACACCTGCTCGACTTCGACCGAAACAAACTTGCTTGCCTTGCTGGATGGCTTTGTATTTTTGGTACTAAAATCTTTATAAAGAATGGTTTTAGAAGATCTGTAAATAAAATTTCTCAGAAGTTTGTTTTGAATTAATTACACCTACTCAAACTTGCGCATTTTTGATAAGAATACACAGCAGAATTTAATACTGTTGTGCAATCTGCATCTACGCTGTTCCGCGAGGTGTAGGGTGGTTTCGCGCCGATTACGTGCCAGTCTAGGAACAGCGAATTTGTGTTATAGAGACAAGCGTCTGGATGATCGAGACTACAAATAATAACGAAAAGTAGCATATAATGAAAAGTAGTATAATGAAAAGTAGTATATAGAAAAGAAGTATAATGAAAAGTAGTATAAAGAAAAGTAGTATAATGAAAAGTAGTTTAATGAAAAGTAGTATAAAGAAAAGTAGTATAATGAAAAGTAGTATAAAGAAAAGTAGTAAAAAGAAAAGTAGTATAATGAAAAGTAGTATAAAGAAAAGTAGTATAATGAAAAGTAGTATAATGAAAAGTAGTAGCATATAATGACAAAATACCCTCATATAATGACAAAGTACCAGCATATAATGACAAATTACCATCATATAATGACAAAATACCATCATATAATGACAAAGTACGATCATATAATGACAAAGTACCATCATATAATGCAAGTTCTGCACATAAGGCAGTTACGGCGTTCCATACTAGCAGTAGGTCGCATGCATATCGTATACATGTTAATATTACCTTCTACATTGTCAAAATTTTGCAAAAAAAGTGTGTCTAGTCTACCCTCTACTAAACCTTTTGACTTTAAAATTAATAGGCGTGACTCTTCTTTAGCTCATTTTCAAGGAAGTTTTCAAGTAGAATTTAATCGAAGTTCAAAGACTTCTCGAGGTATTGCTTGGAAATGATACTTTTTATAGTAGTGTTGCAGACAGACGGAAATACAGCCGAACGGAGGGACGGACAGTAGGGTGGTAGGGGGACAGAGGGAGTAATGGTATAAAAACTAATTACAAAAACTCAAAAGATTCTTGAGATATCGCCCGGAAATGAAACTTTCACACACACATGTACATAAAATGTATCACTTTATGACCTTGACCTTTGATTTTTTACCTCAAATTTAATATATGTCTTTTTAAAGCCATATCGAGAGTTGTGGTATAAAATATCATTGCAAAAGCTCAAAGGTTAATCGAAATCTCATGCATAAACGAAACTGTTGAAATAGACAGAATTTTTTAATTTATGACATTGACTTTTGACCTTTTGTCAGAACTAAAGACGGACGGAAAGAAAGACGGGCGGTCAGAAAGACCGAAATTAATATCCTCCATTTCAACAGGGTACGAAATTAGCAATCGATGAAAATTCTTGTATTATTCACAGTAAAATATACGAAAAAAAATCTTTTGGAATAATTGTACAACAGTATATAAATGTAAATAAACATAGAAATGTAGCACACCCCACTCTCTCTCCTCCTCTTCCCACTCCCTCTCCACACTCTCTCTTCGCACATTCTATCCCTCCCACATCCTCTCTCTCCCAAACTCTCTCTCTTCCCACACAGGCTCTCTACACCCTCTCTCTCTCCCCACACTCTCTCTCTCCTCTCTCTCTCCCCACACTCTCTCTCCTCTCTCTCCCCACACACTCTCTCTCTCTCTCTCTCTCTCTCTCTCTCCCACACACTCTCTCTCCTCTCTCTCTCTCCCCACAGTCTCTCTCCTCTCTCTCTCTCTCCCCACACTCACTCTCCTCTCTCTCTCTCCCCACACTCACTCTCTCTCCCCACACTCACTCTCCTCCTCTCTCCCCACACTCACTCTCCTCTCTCTCTCTCTCCCCACACTCACTCTCCTCTCTCTCTCTCTCCCCACACTCTCTCCTCTCTCTCCCCACACTCTCTCCTCTCTCTCCCCACATTCTCTGAGAGATAGAGAGAGTGTGTGGAGTATGAGAGAGCTATCTTCTCCCCACTCCAACTAGGAGTATCTCCCCACTCCAAACAGGAGTAGAGAGTCAAGGAGACATAGAAATGTAAGGCAGGTAAAAAGAGAGAGAAAAGTGTCCCTTTCTTTTTTCCCTCACCCATGTCTCCTCTCCCAGCATATTTTCTTACACACAACTTTCTCCCTCTTTCTTACCCTCTCTTTCTTTTCTTTTTTTTCTGCTTTACGACATTTTGTCATTTATTCGTCGTAGAAAAATCTATATACAAAAACATTATCAAAAAGTAAAAGTGTTTTAAGTCTGGCATAACTTTTATCGCCAAAATTCACGGTTCTGGTTAGTTAGATCCAAACTAAATCACAACCAATGATTTTTAATTATGATTTTAAACATTCTTGAAAAATTAATTTTCCAAAGAAGCATACCTGTTTATTTATAATCACGAAACAAACCATAGAAATTTGCAATGCTACAAAGGGAGAGAGATACGCATAGAAAAAAAAAACGTTTACATTAAGAGTAAAGTAACTGATGCACTAAATAATGCCATGGGCGCTTCCAGTATCTTTCATACATTACATACATGTGTCAGATTTTCAGTTTAAAATTGTTTTGCAATTTAACTTTTATTGGTAATGTTTAAAAAAAGACTTTGTAAATGATATAAACCTACATGATTATTCACATGTAGGTTGTAAATACTATTTAACCGTAATTTAATTATATGACATGAGAGTGAATATAAAACTAAATTATAAAAGTCTACGAAATTAGTAAACAAGTCACTAAATGATTCTAATTCCTTTTATCGTTGGCAAACATTTTTCCGGCCATAAACAATTTAAAATGTATTACTAGTTTTTGGTTTACTCGACTGGCGATTAAGTGTTCACTAAATCGTCTCTGGTGTAAAATTGCAGCCTTTACGGATCTTTCTGAATGGTGTGTTAATTGGTTGTTTATTGGACCAATCAATTATAGAGTTTTTTTTTTTAAATCCCAAGTCATTCTGTTAAGTTATGGAGAAGACGGGGGTCAACATATTTTTTAAAATGTTTTAGGGTATACTGGTACATGTGGTATTCAGAAGAGAAAAATAAAGTCGGTGTGTATGTGATTTAGTTGCTTGGGAGGGGGAGGGGGGGGGGGTAAAGGGGGGATGTTCCATTCAGTAGACATAAAAAATTCATGAACTAAGACTGCATTTTATTATATTCTAAATATGAATTATCTATGAACATAATGAAGATTATAAGACATGTGATACAGCTAAAAATCACCTTAAAAGCCGAGGCACATGCAAATTCTAATAATATTCATTACCCCTATAAATATTACATAAAGAGAGGTAATGTGTCGGATTTCAATGTGATTTTTTTTATCAAGAACGTGTAGATTAAGTACGTATAGTAAGAGATTAAAAAATAAAGAAAATCATATCAAATTATATGTATTAAAAAACATGGAAGTGGGGTGCATAGGAAAAGGAGGGTCCTGTCCATTTAACTAAAAAGGATGCCCTTGACATGAAATTGGTGACCTTTATTTGTAGGAGTAAAAAAACTTGAATGGGACGTTAAACAACTAATCAATCAACACACATTATATAAAAAGTACCCATATTTCCAAGGCCGAGTGACCAGTATTCTTTTAAACTTCTTGGAAACATTATCATACTTTTGATAACCATACCTTTGATTATGTGATAGTACACCCACTGTGTCTTCTTGTCAAAATCTCGCGACTCCTCTCGCTTTCTCTCGGCAATGTCGGATTTGAAGATTCTACACTCATGCGAGTCTTTATCGTAAATCAGTGAAATACACCCCTCGATACTGGAGCAGGATCGGCTACACTCGATAGGACTTCGGGAAGACTTTCCAGGAAAGTAAGGTCGAAGGTCCAAGATATCATTCACTTTGACAGCCTTTTGTTTAAACATAAATGTGGCTATGCTGCCAGTAATTCCATTGTAATGCACGAGGAATAGAAGCCATCCAAACCCTTTCATGACTTTTTTATAATGAATTTCGTCCGACATAGAGATAGAAAATGATAGAAGTGACTTCATATTGCAGAAATGATACAAACTTACCAAAATGCCAATATTCTGTTTATTTGACGCCACGGAAGACCAATATTTACACTGGAGCTAATTTGAAGATATGTTAATTTTACTTAAACACCCAAACTACATTTAGATGGCAATATTCATATTTGTTATTGATTGTATTGTATCTTTGGCAAAATAATGTAATCAATGTCAATAGTGGAATCCAAATCATTCAATCATCCCCAAAAAACAACATCATACATTTTCTTTGTTCACCTTTGTATATTAATACATGAAGGTAATATATTAAAGATATACATGTGGATTTAATGAAGTACATGTATATAATACTCTGTTCTTAATTATGTTAACTTGTACTTATATGCAAAACACGTATTTGCTTTGTTTATTGTGCATCTTTATTTTGTTTCATCTTGCTTTGATTGGCTTTAGACGCGAAGAATAAAAATACCTGCTGGAAATATGACTCACAAATTCGATAGAAGTAAAAAGACTAAAACTGGTCGTGTTTTGCAATTTCAGACAATCGAAGTCGTACATTGCAATAAGTCAAGAGTCGTGATTTGCCTTTTAAGACAAAGGTCATGCTTTGCAATTTCAGACAAAAGTAGTGCTAAAAATACAATTTCAGATCAAGTTGTATTTTACAATTTCCGACTAAAGTCATGTTTTGCATTTTCGGAGCAGAGTCGTATTCTGCAATTTCAGAAAAAAAAGTCTTAACGTAGGTCACGGGTTTGCATGGATTTTGAAAGTGTCCGAAAACATAACATGAAAATTAGCTATATTATTTCTCTACCTTTGATTTTCATTCTCTGAAAATTTTATAACATTCGTCTGCACCGTTTTTGTGTAGCTGAATTCCAAAGAATGTCATTGTTGTAGTAACAGACAAAAGTCGTGCTTTGCAATTTCAGATCAAAGTCGTGCTCTCCAACTTCAGACAAGTCATACAAGTCATGTTATGTTATGTTATGTTATGTTATCTTATCTTATCTTATCTTATCTTATCTTATCTTATCTTATCTTATGTTATGTTATGTTATGTTATGTTATGTGAGCTTTGCATTTCAGACAAAAGTCGTGCTTTGCAATTTCAGACAAAAGTCGTGTTTGCAATTTCAGACATATCACCTTAATCATTTGCCTTGAGAGGAGAGGGGGTAGATGTACTCAGCAAATCATGCCTGTGATTATTGTTCTCTAATATCAAGCAAAAGATAAGGCTACATCTTCGATTATGTTTTAAAACAGTTTATTTTAAAAATGAACATAAAAACTACATGTGATTTCTTGTGCAACTTTGTCTATATGAAGCTTACTTAGTGTATACATGTACATGTAAAATTCTTTTGATTTTTCTGGAAAAGAACACCTTCATTTTTCCCTGCATTCAGTACAGAAATCATTACAAATTGTGCTTCCAAGAGATCGATGCCGATTTCTATTGCGCGCTGATTTCACAGATGAACGTAAGATCTCTACTGTCTGAAACATCATGCCATTTGTAACCGGAACTGGTCTTTTTCAGAGCGAGGCTCGTCTGTCCATCAGGCTGATCTCTCTCCGTGTTCCAGTTAAAATAAGTCAGTTTTTGGTTGTCGTCATAAACCCATTCGTTGTCCATGGAGTGGTAGCCTGCGATACGTATCTGTTCATCTGAGTCAAGACTATGGGACACTGTATCTGTTAAAATGACCACAACTGTTCAAATTCAAGCATGTGAAATGGCTAACTGTAGAGTCCAAAGGTGAATTTAGTTGTGTCATTATTTTTTGATAGTTGAAATTGCTGATATTCAAAAACTTAACATTCTGTCAGAAACGTGCAATTTTTTTAAGCACAATCTTTTTTTTTTTTTTTGTTGAGTTTAAGTCAAATCGTCAAAGGCAAATTTAATGTACCAAGTAGTTGATAGATGTACAAATTTCGACTTCACAGTCTGAGATGCATAAATCGACCTCGGTTTTTGTGCACGTTAAACTTATACTTATCTTTGAAGACGACATATAGAATTAATCTATGAAAGGGTTATACCGGTACATCTGTATATATTAAGTGTCTACATTGTAGAAGCCCGTAAGGATATCTTGTTGATTTGTGACCTAAAATAATCTTTTATAGGGATCGAATTTCTTTCCTTCGAAAAAAGCACATTGAAAAAGGTATCTAAAAGAAAACAACAAACGAATATGTATTCTAAAAAAAAATTCCAAGTATTGGGAAAAACAACAAGGAGCCATACCTAAGTAATCTTCAACTTCTTGCTGCTTTAGTTTTCTGTCAATTTTCACCAGGTTTCCGCCGTGAAATGTTTTACATTTTTCCTTAGCTCCATCGTAACTCTCATCTTCGGAGAAAAATTTAATGCAGAAGTCCAGCAAATAAATGTACCGGAAGTCAGGCTGCTTATCGCATTCTGCTTTAGTAATGGATCCATCTGGAACTAATAAATGAAACATACGTTTATTTTGAATTAAATAATTATATCATAACGGTTCAAAACATGTACTGCAATATAATAATGTATGCATTGCATAAAATTGATAACTGTAGAGACCATTTTTGGCACATATAGTGATGTTACCGTATGAACATATCAAATATTGCACAGTATAACGCTAGTGGGATCAAGAAGTCCAAAAAAGAATTATTAAATAAAATCTAAATGTTTGTCGCACAGGCACTTGTTTCTGTAATAAACTTTTGACCCATAGTATAATAAAAACACAAGTATGTTATTATTATACTATAGGTTAAATTTTATTCCCGAAACAAGTGCCTGTGATTTTTCGTTAAATTTTTATATGTATTATATTTCATTAATGATATTTGTTTTTCATTACTCTTGAAAATATCGTATTAACCCTGTTCCTATTTATTATTATTTTGGTATTCATTTATGAAATATATATCTGTAAACTTTTTTCTTCGTTTGACAGTCGGAAGTACACCTTTTCTTGGAGGGAACTTTTTAAAATAGTAAATACCCAATGAAAATCTCTTGAAAATAAGGTCTCACTTAAATAGTTATATCTACAGTTTTTTACCACTAGTTTCAATATAAGCAAATACATGTATAATTATCCTTTAAATGGACATTGTTGTTGCCCCATAATGAAACATAACAAATGTTTTTTCTTGGCTTTTTTCAGGGTTTGAGGGTGGGGTGGGGTCTAAATGTACAAAATATGACTCTAGCAACTCTGATTCTGCTTTTAAAACTTTGCGGTCTGTGGAATTTTTAACACTGCAAATCTAAATCTATTTAAAAACAGTATTTTTTTCAGGGTTTTGATGACGACCTTCTCTGGTCAAAACCGAGGACACAAAATAAATCATTACTGCTGCATTCTCGCAAAGTGTTGATAATCTGTTTTATTTCTTTAAGTTTTAAACAGTATTTTGTTATAAAACTCGTATCCTTGACATGGTTACATCATGATCTTAATGTTTAATCAATATTTAGAATAAGAGACCAAGGATTAGTAAAAACGGAAACCAATATCTATCTTTTCAGACCTCATCACCTGTGCATCATTCAAAGGCCCATTTCGTCATCTCAAGTCAAAGGTAACACAGAACATCGATAAATGTGTCTTTAGAAGAAAAAAAAAACCTGGAATCGGGGCATTAAAGTCATTCTTTTTTATCATCATTTCTGGCCCTGATAAGCGCAGTCAATACCAGTCCAGATCCGATTTGCAATTTAATATCTTTTCAATGCGTTTATTTGATTATGGAGATGTTCTTCCTTAACTTCCAATAACGACGAACCAGTTGATCCAATTCATGTGTCCAAGGCTTTTGTTTGTGTCATTCTAAGCTCGCTTGAAAACGGATAGAGCCAACGATGAGAAAAGAGACCCACAGATTAATGAATTGTAAAGTGTTCGATATGACACCGTTTTAGCAATTATTCAAAGAATCTTGCTGCATTAAGAAACGGGATGTGCTATAAATACTGTGTCCATTTGTTTCAAAGAGGCCTGTCAGTGGAGATATTTTATTTTCCTGGCGACCTGTCATTGTCAGGCAACAGGGTTTTTATTCTCACGCTAATAATAGCAAGGAGACAAATACCTGAGAAATTTAAAGCAAGATGCCAGCTATCTATGTACCCAAACATTCAGAAATACCATCTCTATCTACAAATGTTTTGATGATAACATTATTTAAAAAGTACCATAATGGAGGAAATCTAATCTTCGAATATGTAAAATAGACTGTACTATCATGCATCTATAAAAGAAAATTAACTGTATTATCATGCATCTATATAAAAAAAAAATTAAAACTGATTCTGAATAATGCCAAATTACAGGTTAAGAACGAAATGATAGGTGCGAACTTGGTTTCATACGGAGCTGTGTCCTTTCCCTGACAAAGAATTTGGCCTTTTGGTCTTTTTTCAGCGATTTTTAAAATCTTTATTTAAATGAGGGTATTCAGCCACGCTTATAGAAAAATACATAATCCTCAAAATACATTCTCCTGAATCGCATGCCTGACGCAGTGGTTAGAGCTGGAGTCGTGCAAATGTTGTCGCGGGTTCGTAGACCATTGTGGGATGTGGACACCAGTCTTCCGAATGAACCGAGGTCCCATGTGGCCATGCCGCAAAACCTAAGCGCTCATGTTGGCTTTGCAACTCTCCAACGGCAAATGTTGACGTCTCCATATGCATTCTGAAGACTCACAAAACCAAGCGCTCATGTTTTAGACATAAGGAAACTAGACTACGAGTGCCACGAAATACTTTTTAGCTCACCTGAGCGGAGGGCTCAAATGAGCAATTTTTTTTACAAAATGTGTCCGTTGTCTGTCGTTGTCGTTGTTGGTGTTGTTGTTGGCGTCGTTGTAAACTTTTCACATTTTTCATCTTCTTCTCAAGAACTACTGGGCCGATTTCAACCAAACTTGGTATAAAGTATTTTTACATGTAGGTATAGTGGATTCAAGTTTGTTCAAATTAAGGGCCACGCCCTCTTCAAAGGGGAGATAATAAAAAAACTAGTGGAAAAAATCTCCTTCTCAAGAATCAATGAGCCAAGGAAGATGAAACCCAAGTAAAGTCTGTAGATTCAGGTTTGTTCAAATCATGACCCTTAGGGTTGGTGGGGCCACCATGGCCGATCAAAATTTGAGATAGGAATATATGGGGAAAATCTTTAAAAATCTTCATCTCAACAACCATTGGGACACGGAAGATGAAACTCATTTGGAATCATCCTCAGGTGGTGTAGATATAAGTTTGTTCAAATGATGAATCCGGGGGGGGGGGGGGGGGGTAGGGGGGCCACAATGGGCGATCAAATGTTTGGATAGGTATTTACAAAGCAAAGTATGATTGGTCTTATTTTATATCATAGCATCCTCAGGTGGTGTACAATCAAGTTATTTAAAATCCGGACCCCTGGGGATAGGGTGGGGCCATTAAAGTTCCAATTAAAGTTTTACATAGAAATATATTTTAAAAAGTCTTTTAAAATGTTCTTCTCAAGAACAGCAAAGTCATGATTGTTGATATTCATATCGTTAGGCATCCTCTGGCGGTGTAGATTCAATTTTATTCAAATCATGACCCCCAGGGGTAGGAAAGGGTCCTAACGAGGATCAAAGTTTTACATAGAAATTTATAGAAAAAATCTTTTAAAAATCTTTTCTCAAGAATGGCAAAGCCATCATTATTAGTAATATTAACATAGATGCATCCTCAGGTAGTGTACATTTTGTTCTAATCCTTACCCGCAAGGTTTAGAGTTAGTCGCAGATCAGTTCGCTTCGTCTGAAAAGAAATTGGGATGGACGACCAGACAGCTACAGTGCCACCCATTGAAAAAAGATATTATTTATTGCACACAAAATGCGATGTTACTCGATTTATTTTTATTATGTGTAAATTAGATAACTCTGGTCGTCCATCCAATTTTTTAAGACCACCGAGCTACAGGTATACAGCTATATAAAGTTGGCTTTTTCAACTTTAAAGTTCGAAATTCAAACTTCAATCTTGGGGCTTTTTTAACTTTAAAGTTGTATTTTCTAACTTTAAAGGTAATTCCAACTTTAATTTTGACTTTCCAGACGTTAACCTTGGCTTTCCAAACTTTAATCTTGGCTTTCCAAATTTAATCTTGACAATTCCAATTTTAATCTTGGCTTTTCCATTAAACTTAGAAAAGCCAAGATTGAAGTTGGAAATTATCAACTTTAAATTTGAGAAAAGCCAAGACTGAAATTGGAACTATTAACTTTCAATTTGAGAAAAAGGCAAGATTAAAGTTGGGAAAGCCAACATAAGAGTTGGAATTACCAGTTTCAAAGAATATTACGTGGTAATAATACGCTCTGTTCTTCTCAGATTTTATTCCCCTATCCTCACACGTCTAAAAGATTTGGGTGGAAGGGACTATAACAAAGAATTAATTTCTAAAAATTCAACCACGACCCGAAGGCAATAAACGAGGGCAGAAAAGTTCGTAAAACATTAAAATATAGAGACTTAAATTTATTTTTGTTTGTTTGGTTTGTTTGTTTGTTTTTGTTGTTGATGATGTTTTTTTTAAATTCCCTGGTATGGGTTTTACAGCGATACAAGTTATAATTTATGATATTCTATTCATGCTTTCCGTATATTTTTCGCTGAAATAACTGCTTTTTGAATGGTAAATGGTGCCCTTCATATCAAAATATTTTAAATGATATGCTTTGAAAAGTGTTTTCTCTTTTAAAATTCCTCGTTATTTAAAAAAGATTGCTAATTAACAATTTTTATCATGAAAATTTTTCACTGAAATGACATATCCCCAATAGAAAAACAACGACATGAGTTTACCTCTAATAATGTAGAAATAATCCAAATTTTCTTCGAATTCGTAAGGAAGGGCATCTTCTTTCGTGAAATCTTGGTCATAAAGTTTACAAATCCGTGTAACACTATTATAAAGTAAGGATCGACAGTTTTCCACCATTGAACACGCATCGACACATTGTATTTTACTTCTTTTTATAGACGAACTGATAGGATGTGCTGAAAAGACTCTGTTCTTCATGTTTGAATCTTGAAAACCTCTGAGAACTCTTGATTCGGCTTCGGATTGTGTGTAAAGTGTAATAATGATATAGAATAAAATACAGTGCCATCCTCCCATTTCTAATGCGTTCTTATGAATGATATAGAGCAGAAAGAGGAAACACTCCAAATATTATGCCTGGTTCGATTATTTTTTGTTTTCGAATTGATCTTTTTGGGGGGATTGCAATCATAACAAATTCATTAATGCCATGTTGGGAACTAATGTCTCGTAATTGTATATTTGCCAGGTCAATTAACAGTCAGATGGAAGATTCTGTAAACCAATGAGAATTCGTATTCAGTTTTTTTCTCAGTTGAAGTAATGAGATAATAATCAAGCCAAACAAGTATTACCATAAATAAGAGTATCCGGCAAAATCTATAGATTGTCCAGGTTGATACAAACCAGAAAAAAATCAGACAGTACTTTGTTGTTACCGTAATAGTAAAAACCCATTTGTAAAGCAAAATGTGTTGAAATGGTTGTTAACGAAATAGCAAAAATCCCTATTAGTGAAGCAAAATGTGTTGAAGTGGATGTGATTAAATTGTATTAGATGCATCAAAGTACTTGAAATTTCATGATGTTTCGTTTCAGAAAAGTAGAGAAAGAATCTACCAATAAAGCAAATAATATATAGAGTTTTTTTTTTGCATACGCATATATTTATATTCGTAAAGGTTCAAATATTATCTTCAGAATTGTTATAATATAGGTATTAGTATATAACTAAAATTTACATGATTTTGGTCTTCCTTGTCAGAAATCTACTTTTTATGTGTATTAAAAAATGTATCAATTCATCTTCATCTGTCGCCAGTTGAAAAAAATATTTATTTACAGAATAGATAATGAAAATCAAATAAAAAATTAAAACTAATATTTTTTTCTGTAATTTATTATGAAACAACTGCATTGCTATTAACAAAATGTAAAGGGACTTCAACAGACAAAAATGAGAATTTAAAAAAAAATATTCATTAGGAAAAAAATTATAGGTTTAATATACATGATTGTAATAATAATACGTTGAACTTTAGAGTCAAATAAGACTGACTGATGTGTTTTAGAATTTCTCCAAAAGTGCAAAAGAAGTGTGAAAGACGTATGTAGTATGACATTTGATTAAAAAGATATTTCTGTTGCTAGCAATGTCCGCTCAGTCCATAATTAACTTGACACACAGTGTCTACACAGGAATAAATTGTCACAGACAATAGAAAAATGACGTTGTCAAAGACAACAAACATAAAAAAATATATAAATTAATATCATCGAAATCATATCAAATACACATTAATTAAAAAATAAATAATTATCAAACTGAAAGACGGAGTTGTAAAAGTCTATAAGGACTGCTCAGAGTTCCTTTTAGTGACAAACAGGAAGTTGTCCCCTGTGACGTCATTACAGTGTCATTAATATCACAGCGAGGACCGGAAGTTAAGAGCATCTTCGGTCTTCTGGTGTGGACTGAATCCAACAGCTGTAAGGTGACATTCCACCAAACAAATCATTTATGTTACCAGCAGCATTTGTCTGCAAAGTCAATACAAAGAAATAAGTACAAACGAGAAAACCACATGAGAACGATCAAATCTGCCTAGATTTTTTTTTAATTTTTTATTTACATATTAAGAGTAATGTAAACTTTGAGCTATAATTTTATAACTCTTTTATGTAATATTCTTCATCAATTTTGTTTTTAAAAAGATGTTTGCTTTGATTAAATTCAATTTAACATTACCTGGTTAAACGTGTGTTTGCTGAGAGACTGAGTCTGAGAACTGTTAGGGTGACGCCATGCGTCTTGCGTCTGATTCTGATGACGCACTGCGTCAGGCCTCTGTTCACCACCAAATAGACGCCCTTCGTTTGTGTAGCGTCTGTACATTGCGTCACGCTTTCCTTCCATGTCATCAGATTGACGACTTTCTGTTGAGTACCGTTCAGCGATCATAGACTGTGAAAAAAATACAGTTTATTTAATTTGTACATCATTTAATAGAACATGCATTGTTTAAAATGGTCAAAAAACTTAATGTGCTGCAAATCAAATTTTATGTAAATATACAATCCTCTTTTAAAAATTCTATTTGCTGGGGAAGGCGAGAGGGATGTGTCTTAAAACCACCTATGTTGCAAGTAGTAACGAAATTTTATTTCTGTTCCTTACCCAGTCACACGCCACTTTCTTGGGTCTTGTAGCCAGTGATGAGCTAACATTAGAATGTGATGAAGTCTTAGCTGAGGTATGCTCAGTTTGTGAAGTCATCATAGATTTGGCTGCATCAGTTGAAAGGTTTGACAAACTCCTTTGATTCCTCTTCTCTGAGCCATATGTTACTTTAGGTGTGTGTCCTTCTGAGTATTTATCTGCAGGAGGAACCCAGCCTTTTGGAACAAAGCTCGGTACATAACCTTGTGGCTTAAATTTCTTTGACAAATGCTGATTCTAAAATAAAAATAAAAGTGCTTCATTTTTTTTGTTACAGCACAAAACAGATCAAGTTACCTTATATGGGTAATCATTTTTCAATAAATGAATTACTATATGTGCATGAAATGTAAATGTCTAGTTGATTCCAGAACTTACTATTTCAGTTGGAGTTGGAGGCCTCTTATGGTTTCTCTCCTTTGCATCAGACATGAAAGGCAATGGTTGACGTGCCACTGAGGTAGTCTGTTTTATCTCCCGAGCTACTGAGTTAGCTACATGTAACTTGGAATCTGCTGAAATACTCCTTGACTCCTGCTCTGGTGCAGAACTCTTTGGTAACCCCCATGCTTGTAAGACCCTCCTTGCCGATACAGTGTCAATCTTTGATGACTGTTTGTCAGCTGACACAGCTATCCTGAACTCTCTAGCTTGTGAGTTGGTTGTCTTGGATTCTCGGTCAAAAAAGTCATTTGTTGGTGCGTCCCATGCTGATAAGACCCTCCTTGCTGACTCTCGCTCTGGTTGAGAATCTGCCGTTTCTTCCTCCCGAGCTGGTGACCTAGTTCTGGGTGATGAGGGAGGGCTGTCCAGATAACTGGTTAACCCCAGGTCCTCCAGTGTGGGAGTGGGGTGATACATTAGTGTCATGTAATCTGGAGGGGCGTATCTGTTGATGGGCCTCACCTGAGGCTGAAATTAATTATGGAATAATAAATAACCTGACGTTTTTAACAACAAAGAAGTAATTTTAAAATGTTATACTATAGTAATTCCATAAAAGTAAAAGATTTACATAAATTACACAATTGCTTGGGGACGAGACCTCCCCACCCCCTCCACCGTGTTCCGTACCCAAGGGTTCTTTGACTCTTTTTTTAAAATAAAATATTTTGCTATGACATATTCACAAAGTATTACAAATGAAAAATCAAAAAAAAATTCAGCTAAAATTTTCCTTTTATAGAAATTCATACTCAATGATTCTAAAAATCAGAACGTGCTTTAAAATTTTGAATTTTACTATTAAAGAGATCAAAGAACCCTCGGGATACGGAACGGGGGGTGGGTCCCAAACACCTGTGATTAATTTTTAAAAATCCTAATTTTTGCAAAATACTTTACCTCTTTTCGCACCACTCTCTGTTGAGGTTGCTCTGCATGTTGAGGTTTGTGAGAAGCAACTGTGCTCATAGACTCAGTCCTTGTATGTGGATGAGTAGGATGCACTCTCTGCTGAGATTGCTGTGCATGTTGAGGTTTGTGAGAAGCAGCTGTGCTCATAGACTCAGTCCTTGTATGTGGAATGCTGGGGAATGCTGTTCACATTCACATAATTAGGTCTTGTCTGAGTTTGATACCCATGTGGGCGAGAAGGTTGCGCATGTTGTTGCGGCTGATATTTGTTGCTGCTAGGTACCACGCCTGTCCTATAATGAGTTTGTTGCTCATGAGGACGATGGACCGGTGCATATTGCGGTCGGTAGGTGGCAGCAGTATTCACAGTTGCAGCTCTTTCAATGTACCTGTTTTCATGAGGATAATTTTGTCTGATATGATGAGGCGCCTGCCTTTCTCTCTGCTGAGACTGGTGCTAAAATAAATACAATTTATATTACTAGGTACCATGAGCATTTATTTCAGATTCAAGAGTAAAGAACCAACAAAAATATTTCTAACTGACCCACTGTTGTCCCACTTTGTCGGATCTTTGAGTGGGCGTTGTGGTCAGGTTAGCTGTGTGGCTCGCCTGCTGAACAGGACGTTTCTTAGGCTGCCTAGCCTGTAAAAGAATAAAAATAAAATGACTGGCGTTAAATTTACAATAGTTTTAATTGAATTGAAAGTAAGTTCTTTGCAAATTGCAAAAGGAGTAATTAATGAAAGGTCTCTGCATTTCAATCAATGATTCATATACTACTTTTTTTTATTTTCATAGAATATTGAATTAAATGTTTTCACCTACAACAAAATTTATAAATGTTTATACAATTTATATCAACGTTCTCGTGAAAATGTGAATTGATGAATTTAACTTACTTTTCAGATTAACGATACATGTACATAAATAAAAAAACTGAGACCTCCTGGGTCTGCCCGGAAGTGGAGGACGGGGCCAAAATGTCCAGTCCCAACCTCTTGTAAAAACTCGAGGCATCTTCCGGGGCAGGGCAGGAAACATCCACTCTTTTCTGAAAAAATAGATTGAAAGGATATATGTACATGTAGTACTTGTGTTTTATACTAAGGATCATGGCAATTTGTATTGGTAAAACGTATCTTGTTTAGATCCTGTAGGAATTGTATTTTTGTCTTCGTTTGTATGCTTCAATATGCACATACATTTTATAGATTAATCATTATCAAATATTTTTTGATACTTTAATCAATATGGTAATAATCAGTAAAAAATATGCTTTCAATGTAATTTTTAGATATTGAACATCCTCAAAACTACGGGTGTTCTACAGTATGGATATGACATAATGGGATATTGAGATAGGATAGGGATAATTTCACCTTTAATTGGAAGTAATTAGTTACATGTACAACCCTGCATTTAAAGACTGCAGAAAATTTTTAAAAGTATTTTAAAAATGAACTTTGAAAAAATTCTACGAAATAACTTGAATGTGAATTTGGTATTGACCATAAGATTTTTACTGAGGGAAAAACACGACACCCAGTTTATCAAGACATGCACATCAGTGGTGATCTGCTTCAGGACAGATTTAGAATCTTTAAAAGTTCTACTAGGTCTATCCAAATATTAGAATAAAGAAATCTTAAGGGGGATTTTCAAGCATTAATTTACTTTTGGGGTTTTTTTTTCTCTCCGTCTACCCCCCCCCCCCCTTCCTCTCATTCCAAAAAAAAAAAAATGATACGTGTCTGATATTAGCAAATTAAAAATATATGACTTTTGTTTTTAAGAAAGTGTTCTTTGATATGTGAAAATTCAAAACCCGCTAATATCAGTAATTTTAATTTCTTTATAATCATATTCAGGTAGCCATAGAAGAACATGTAATCCACAGAATATACAACGTGCTTCAAACAAACCCTTTGTGGTCATGCGATTCATAAAAAAAAAATACACAAAAAGTGTGTTTTACCCGCTTATGCACGTTTTGTGACATTCTTTTTTCTGTATCAATGATATGTATCGAGAAATTCAAGAAATTCTTTGCTCAGTTTCAAACACGTCTTGTCTCTTCGACTGATGCGTTAGAAATGAGACGTTACTACAAAACACAACGCTCACTTGGACAACGGTTGCCATGACGTCGCCATTGACTACGTAAACATTGGGATGTCCTAGCTTTTCAATCGAAACGTATCAAACATTTAGTTTGAAAAAAAAAACACTATATTTTCAGAGCTGTAAATCTCATACTGCATTCTATACCTAACATGAAAATCATGATTTCTTTTCAATTTTGGATTATTGCTATAAGCCAGATAACTGGTTACATAGGGCTATTCATAGATCTGCTTCTATCAAAATTACTTACCTTCCTCTACAAGCAATCGGTACACAAAGTAATAATATCCATATAATATATTTATATAAAATAACACTCTGTAACTCCTTTTGTGTTGGAAACTTATGTGACTGAGTTTTGTATCTGTGACGTTGCATAGAATTTGAAAAATGAGTTATTTCGCGGATTTTTTGTAATGTAGGATTAAATTAAAGATGTAAACAATAAGTGTTGAGATGATAAACATGCATAAAATCCAAGTATTTTCACCCCTTACTATTTTCTTAAAACTTGTTCACTCTAAATTTAGTGTGGCTCCTAGAGGGAAAATGAATCTCACACCATGGAGGCGATGGGGGCAGGGGGTTGCGGTGGGAGTCAACAGACTACAAAATAAATATAATTACATTATAACCCTAAAAACATGTCAAAGAATGGCATTACCCTCTTAAGATCACTTTTATTCATCTTTAAGACTTGGCTTGCTCTTTTGACAGTAGGAATTTCGTAAAATATTCCCTTGACTGAAAACACGTCTTGTCTCTTTGACTTATGCTTCAGAACTGAGCAGTAACTACAACAAACAACGTCAGGCCAAGCAACTGCAACGTCATAAACGATGATGGGGGCCAATGAAATAGTTCAAATGCCCCCCCCCCCCCCCTTATATCCACTCCTGAAGTAAAAGGCAGTTCTGAATGACTTACCTCTTTGAATCAATCCGACATTCAAACGTGGAAATCAATGTTTACAAAGTAAATGACAGACCACATGTGTAATGCATGATGCCATCGCTTAGTTTTCCTTCTTTGTAACAACTCTTATTTCAAGTAGAATGCGAAAAACCTGTCGATACTTAAAATTATTCTTCGTTGTTTACTTTGTTGAAAAAACGTCGACTGCTTATTAAAGGGAAGTTACTCTAATCCATGAATTAGTAAAAACTGCATACATATGAGTTATCTTTCTTACTACATAAAACAACAAATCCCTCCTTTAAAGTCGGTCAAGACGTCCCTCTCGGATTTTCAGAATTTATATTTTAATATCCTGTGTAAATTGACAAAAAAAATACCGATGTCCTCATCTAGGAAACACAAACCTTTGTAATGAGTAATATAACTTTTTTCTTTTAGATCGAAATGCAGCATAAACACCAGCAACTACAATATTTTATTACTTATTAACTATTTCAAACTTTTGCTGGAAACTTCAATAATTTAAAATGAAATATTCACATTAATTTAAAGCTGAAAAAATGCATTATCTACAATGAAAATATTTATGAATATCCGTATAAATTCATGTATTCACAAACAAATTACATTTGTTTCATTAAAATTATATAAAATTGGACTTGCAATCCAAAAGTCATTGGCCTATCCATCAAGTAAAAGGTTTTACAAAATCTCAGTTTTAAGGATTTACGAGCAATCTCTTTGGTAGTGATCATATTCAAAATAGTAAATGTCCTCGTACCACATTCCGGGCACGTCTAAATACGTCACTTCCTGTAAGCTACATTTTTCTGACAGATAACCATACTCGAATGTCTTGCAGGTAAAAGACGCTTCAGAAGTACACAGTTCGCGACATTGTTCCAAAGTCACATTAACATGCTCCACTTTGTTGTTTTGATGGAGAAAATGGCGACGGTACAACATATACTGATCACTGTATCCAATTGTACAATCTATAAAACAAGCATACAACTGAAGATTTACAGAAAATTTTATGATTTAACTAGAAATTATCTTAATTAACGATTTAGTGGTATATGATATATTTTATGAAAATCCATGGAATCAAAATGTTCAAAAACCAAACGGAATATTTCAAACAGTGAGGAATGGCTCGAATTGCAAAGGTCTTTTGTCAGTAACCCAAAGTTGCTGGTTCAAGCCACAATGTGGACTTTTGATTTTGTGTGATGTGTCCTTACACAAGGCTCTTTTCTTCATTTAGTCCACTAAGCTATAATATGGCATTAACCTACGCAGGGGTTACTAGTACACTGCGATTGTCTGGCTTAACATCTAGAGGTAGTCAATGACTCGATCTCGTCTGCTAAGCACCACAAAAATCAGGTATCTTAAGGCATTGTGCCTATGAGCTTTATAGCTTGGAAAGGGATTTCACTCTTAACTTTTATCGGGGTGGGGTTAGGGATGTAATGTACAAATCTCAAAAAAAAAACTTTCGCAGGCTATTTTTGCAAAGGGTTAAAAAAAAAAAAGAACTCGATGTGTAAGCTATCTAATACGCAATATAATCTTGTTAAAATATTTTTTCAAAGAGGTATTTGACATAAAAGTTTTAAAATACAACCGTGATTTTTACTTACTTGCGTCACAAGATTTTAGTCTTGGGTTGAAGCTGTACCCCGCCCCACACCAGCACTGTCCGCCCCGACACTCGGAGTTCCCCGTGACACAGTCTGAGTGACCCCCACAAGTGTCTCCTATATAGCCGATTCCTGTAAACGAAAAGGCTCACCTTATATCTCGATAAAGTTATACTAAAATCTTAAATTGCCATGGTATTTTGGATACTTTAACGTGTTTAAATAGAAAAAAGAATATATATGTTTTTCAATCCACGGTGCCATTTAGTGGACGCATGTAAATGTATGCTTCCTTGAAAATAATTATCTTCAAAATTAATCAGTGAACAGAATTAAATCATCTTCTTCAAGGGATATTTTTTTTAGCAAGTTCGATTGAAACCGGTCCAGTGATGCCAAAGGAGTCGGCAGTGTGAAAAATACAGACGCCGAACATTTTTAAATCGGATAACTTGAACTCAAATTAGGTAAAATACTGAAAGTAATTAGTCATGGGTAATGAAAACATATTTTATTTTGGAATATAACAAAATGAATTCAATGGTCTCTGTTTTTCAGCCCTCTCCATAACAAACTTAAATTTTCAGATTAAATTGACCTTATTTAAACTAAGGAACATGGAGCATTCTTCTCAAATTCAATGAAAACTTCAGTAGTTCGCGATTTTTTTTTATTTTTACCTACATAAATCATAAAGATATGTGCTTAAGATGAGAATTATTGTTCATTTTGAAAAGGAATCCTTTACCTTTTTTATCTACATGTATATTCTTTAACAATTTGTGAACTGGAGGTACATTTTCTCTCGTCAGTTTATCTTTATGAAATTATATTTGAACAGATATATATATATATTTTGTGCTTACTTGAAATTTCGATAATTCAGCTGAATAATTAAAATTTGGAAAGAATATAAATTATAATATTTATGAAATACATTATACACTATATAGCATTTTTTCAAATATGAAATTATAATAAAGCATGTAAAGAGAAGCGTAATATTTTCAGACGGAAAAGTTCATATCAAAATGTCCATACCTTTCTGTGTCACAAAATACTGAGAACCAATATCAGCCATTGCCGCTGACGCGTTTCCTAGAGTAACAGAATGTAGCCGACACTCAGATGAAATTGGTGAAAAGAAGAAGCTAACACACGGATTGGTGTCAAGACACAAAATACTACAGAAGATGGCGGACTCTACTCCGTGACGTGTTTCCAGGAGACGGTCCCTTACCAAAAGATTGGACAGATTTCCTCTTTGAGAACTTGTTTCAGATCGTATTTCCAAAGCGTTGTTGCCACAAAGTAATATTTGAATTAAAATATACAAATATGATATGATAGCAGTCTGTAAAATCCAAGAGTGGACCATTTTCTTAAAATTCTATTTTGTCTAATATTTAAAACAGGAAAAAAATCTTACGGAAAAGTGAGTTTCAAAACTGTTCAAGCTGTTTAGCCATTGTTAGCCATTTCAATTTAGAATCTTTTTGCGAGAAAGAAGTTAACAAGGCTGTCAAGTTTAATGGTTTGAACCATATTTTGACCGAATTATATTCCGGATTCTGTTGCTTTAAGATTCCGCTTCCCCTTTTAATGATTGTAATTAGCAAGTCTCAGAAAGGCGTCTAAATACTCCATTGATCCGTTTGGAAGGAAATCAGCCTGTATTAACTGCTATTAATTTCAGAAATATTTTTTTAAAATCAATTTTGATCGGCCAATTATGGAGAAATCTCTGCAGTAAATATTGGCGTGATTGACATTTCTCTTTGAAACAAGTATTTGGAATAAAAAACATTAGGAGGGCATTTTGTCGTTACAAAATTATTCGGAAACCAAGAGTTCACTCCTTCAAACACAACACGGTTTTTATTTCCAGCGTCAGTTCAAATCCATTAATTGAAGAATGAATAATGTTTCACCTGCAGCATCATCCCACTTAACCTTTACCATTTGTAACAAGTTTGAAGGAATTCGCTGTCTCATTTGAAAATATTTAACGGGGATGGCAAAAGTTAAGTCATGGTATTTATTTTAAACTTTCAACTTGCATTATATTAATAAAATATTAATTAAATAGCATAAGACTTCCCCAACATCAGGATTATAGGATTGCAATTGGCGACATCACCCATCATAAATATATTATTTTCCTCAAAGTCAATTTAGAAACAATTAAAATCAATTTGCCGTATATTCAGCGCCTATGCTTATGTTTCCATACGTTCTCCCCATGGAACAAAATCTGCTCGGTATCAAGCAAGCAGAAAATGAGAAATGCTCCTTATTTGTCTTCTGATAAAGAATCTATTAATCAGGGATTAAGAACGTGTGGGATCAAGCATAGGTGCTGAACATTCAACTTATAAACTTGAACCAATTCTTTGAGTGTAAGTGTAAATTAAAAGTTTTGCTCTTGCCAGATCAAACTAGAGGTACTGTGAGCATTGAGTTTACTAAATAAGACCTCCCATATGATTATAATGGCAAAGTCCATGTTTTGCTCTGGGAGACCCGAAATAAGTGTCAGATCAAAAAGTCAAAAAATAAGAGGTGCACAGTGACATTATGTTATAAAGAATCTGTGAAAGTATCATCGAATTTTATTCAGTGGTATAGAAGGAGTTGCGGATAAGAGATGGCCACCCTTCAGTATTATAGAAGGAATGGCAGAGTCCAAGTTTTGCAATGGGAAACCCAAAATGTGTGTCCGACCGAAAAGTAAAATAGGAGGTGCACAATGGTTCTATGCAACAAAGATTCTGTGAAAGTGTCATTTAATTTCATTCGGTGGTATAAGAATAGTGTCCATGTTTTGCAATGGGAAACCCAAAATGTGTGTCCGACCGAAAAGTAAAATAGGAGGTGCACGATGGTACTGTGCAACAAAGATTCTGTGAAAGTGTCATTAAATTTCATTCGGTGGTATAAGAGGAGTTGCAAATAAGAGATAGGTACCACAAAACATAACAGACGGACAAATGGACGTACAAACGGACGGACATCCCGATCACTATATACCCTCCCACTTTTCAAGCGGGGAGGGGTATAAAAACGCTAAAAATAACAAAATATCAAAGCTCAAGCGAAAATGTAGAATATACTCATAGCATAAAAAGCATACATTATGTTAAGCTTATATATGTACATGTACACCATGTGAGTAACTTTATATTAAACTACTTTTAAAAACACTGATATAGTGTGGATTCATTAGAGCATAAATTATAGAGCATAAATTGAAAATGCAACATCCATACTTAGTATTAAACATGATGAACAATACATGAAAGTTTAGATTAGATACCGTTTGTGATGTAAGCTTTAGGATTAATTTGGGTGTGTTGACATGTTCATAAAGGCAGATATTGAAATCACCTTGATCCAACGTAAACTTGGTTGTAATTTTTTTTAACCCTGGGAGGTAAATTTTTTTTTACAAAAGATAATTATTTTTTAAATTAAATACAAATAACAATTTTACAGTCTGTGGGGTGAAATAAGACAAAAAGGACATAATACTTGCAAATTTCGTAAAAAATGATAGACATTTATGGCATTAACAGTTACATGTATCTCACTTATCAGAGTATCGATGAACGTTAAGCTAAATTTCACATCCTGACCAATTAGTAGAAAAATTTAAGGATTCATTTGCATTCATCCATCTTTGTCATTGAGTTAAACATTACAATTACCATATGTGTTTTTAAAGAAGAATTTTTATTTATGCTTTTTCATACAACATGAATTTGACATAAATAACAAGAAACAGCCAATTATCGAAGCAATTATAGTTATAATTTTTTTAAATAATTAAAAATCTCAAACTTGCATTTTAAAATCTGTCATGATAAAAACGACAAAGCCATATCCAGAGAGATAAGTTAAAGTATTATTTTTATACAGGACAGGTGGTCATATGGTCATTCATTGTTTCTTTTTCCTCCTTTTTTAAAGAAGTGAAAATCTCGAGAAAACTGGAAGTACTGTGAGCAATGAGCTCAATGAATGATATCCCCAGCCTCCCATATGATTATAGTGGCAAGATCCATGTTTTGCTCTGGGAGACCCGAAATAAGTGTCAGATCAAAAAGTAAAATAATAGGAGGTGCACAATGGCATTATATAAAAAAGATTCGGTGAAAGTATCATCGAATTTTATTTAGTGGTGTAGGAGTTGCGGATAAGGGTACCATTCAAAATTATAGGAAAAAATGGCAGTGTTCATGTTTTGCCACTGAAATCCGAAATATGTGTCCGATCAAGAAGTAAAATAGGAGAGGCATAATATGCCAATATGTAGCCAAGACTCTATGAAAGTTTCATGAAATTTCAATCAGTGGTAAAAGAGAAATTGCAGATGACAGATGGGTAACCGAAAGTGTTACAGACGGACGGACATCCCGATCACTATATACTCCTTGCTTTTCAGGAGGGGGTATAAAAATGAATTTGAACATCAGCAAAGAACAGCATTTCAACCAATTTTCACACTGGTAATTTTTAATGTCAAATGAAAAATTAACAATAACCATACTACTTTTACTGTAAATATTGTGTACAAAGAGTGTGGTATGATTACTTTACATAGATACACAGTGCAACATGAATAAAGGTAAAACTGAGTTTAAGTATTTCTTTGTTGATTTTTCATTGTTCTTCTCATTACTTTTCCAGATTTTGCTTGAAATCATAGTATGTATCATTCTTCATTAAAAAACACATCATTGTCAAAGCCAAGACAAGCATCATTAACTGAAAGATAAAAGACAAGATATTAAGAAAATTGTATGTGAATACTTTCTTTCAGAGGTAACTTTAAATTCTTATTGACTATTAGTACAAGGCTAGTTATAATTCGTAATAGGCAAAATCTCAAAAAATTGTAAGACCGAGCATAATTAAGTATTTTTCTATTATTTCATTCGCTAAAATGTAGTGTAATACATGTTCATGTACATTGCTTCGTTTAAAAAGATATCAATTTCTTCAAACAGACTTCAAATGATACAAAAACTGAAATGAAAAGGCAAAAACTGAAATGAAAAGGCAGAGAAATTTTCAGAAACATTCTCTAAATTGTTTTTGTCAAGTTTGCTTCGTGGTGACAAATTATATTATGTTGCTTTTAAAATTGAGTAGCATAAGTTCCATTTAATCAAATGAAATGAAACCTCACACATCAACAAAAATTTATTAGAAATGAAAAGTTGATCTTAAATCTTGTAAAAATAGAATGACGATGAGGGACATTGTGTGCGTATTTTTTTTAAGTTTCGGAATCTTGTGAATACAGGTCAAAACTGAAAAGGAGACAAACAATTTTTACACACAACATTATACGATTTCGCAATTTAACCAAAACGTTATAGGAAAGAAAAAAAAAATTAATTTCACAAAATTGATGGCCATTTCTACGAAATCAATAAATGAGATACTGATTACCTGACAAAGTCCTAAGGCAGCTGTACATGAAATGATGATAATCTCAAATCTTAGGTAAAGTTCCTTTAGTTGTGCCTCGCACGGCTACAAATATATAAAAGTATTTAAATATCATCTCTGTAAATATTACATAAACATATATGTATTAATGTATTTTCAATATGAATCGTTTTTGTTAATAATAATTTATTTTGTTATCTCCCTTCCTACTACATGTACAATTAAAAAAAACTCATTTCTTCAATGTTGAGACGATAGAAGAAAAGAAGTGGGATAAAAAAATAATAAATTATACCCTTGGTTTTTTACCCTTGTCAGTAAACAAATTCTATGTAGTTTTCCAAGCTGACCAAATGGTTCTCTACGAATCGCTGCAACAGCAATATACTGAGTATGTATTTCTATTGGATTAATACCTGGATATCGACTTACATTTGTATAAGAATTTGTTGAATCTGGGTTCTTTCTGCAGTCGATGTTGCCTTTAACTGACGGAAGTGTAGAATTGTTTTGCGGTAGACAGCACGATATAGGAACTTCCGCTAGAGTTCCGTCATCTAGCGTTCGATTCCAAGATGTTGACTGCAGAAAATCAGAAACGTTTCCATATCCACAACAAGATAACTATAAATAAAAATTACAAGTTGAAAAGTTTGATATTGAGATGTCTTGCAACTATATAAACAATATCAGATTTCACGCAAGATTTTATAGTTGCAAGTTTCATAAGACCTGTTTTAATTGAGTTTATAATATATTTTCGTACTCGTGCATGTACGAACACATTTCAAAAATGCAGTTCTCGAGAAAACCTTCTTTAATATCTAAACAGGGTACAACAATATTATCGTTGTTGCATCAAAAAGCGTATTCTTTATTGTGAGATATTAGTATACATGTAACTATTTCTTATTTTTGTAACATCGTTCAACAAATAAAAAAAAATAATTATGAAAAGACATATGAACATTAATTGGCTTTTCTACATATGAACCAAGAAATATCGAAACTAGGGGACGAAAATTGTTTCAAGGAAATTCCTCAACAAACTAAAACAGTTAAAACAAAGATAATAAGATCCGTCTTACTGAAGTATGAATTGTATTCATGTGTCTGCTGAAATAATTCTGAGTATCTGCTGATCCGTCGTATTCAGTTCTAATGTTTCTGTATATGGCAGCGTCTAAGTGAGTATTCCACTGTAAAGAAAAGATTACATACAGCATTTTTAAATACTTTAAGGACGTTCGATCCTGAACTTTTGAGTGGATTTTGGTCATGTCCTTTATTTATAAAATTCTGCATCATCTTTAAGTTCTAACATCAAATCTGAATTCTATTATGCATATTGAACTATATTCAATGAAAAAAAACTGCGATTAAATTCCATTCAAGTAGATTTAAACTAGGGACTATATTTTGTGGCGGAAGGTTTTTTAGACGAAAATGATCAGTTTTTTCCCTTTTGAAATATAAAAGTACTTTTTATTTTCGATTCCTGTTTTTCCATGCAATTGCACACAAAGCTGTATTTTGCAGTGAAATGTGTTATGATGATTCTGAAATATCTATTAAATTATTTCTTATGAATTTTATCAACAAAGTGGGACAAATATAGTAAATATATTCTGAAAATTCGGGAAAAAATTGAGCCAATTTTAACGTAAAATTGACAATTTTTTAGTAATATCTGAAAATTAACATCATACACCTCCACTTTTGATGTTCTTATCTAAATATTCAAGATAACTTTGACCTATTCGCTTAAATTCAGAAAAAGTTTAAGACTTTAAAATAATTTTCTTGCTTATTTAATTTTCAATGCCAAAAAAATAACATTTTATTAGTGCAGAAAGGTCAAATAATTGATTAAGCGAAGCAATTTGAAACTTTTTCTTAGTTACAATTTTAAAGTGTCTTTTGTAAAACAGAGTTAGAGTTCATTTTATTTCGTGCTTTAATTGGATAAAAATATTGCTGGGAAATTGTCGAAGATTTATTTTTTAATTTAGACACAAATTTCAGTGCAAAAAGGTCATATTAAATGTACTGTAGAGCCAAAAGAAGCATATTGACCCCCATTTTTTGATTTGAATTTCAATTAAGCTATGTATGTAGAAACTAGAAATATACTTGGCAAAAAAAGTTTAAGACTTTAAATATCAGGATCGAACGTCATTAATCTATAAGGGGTCAATTAAACTCAATTTATTTGTGGTATTTTTTAATGAAAAATAAGACTTCATTTAGACGCACATTCTTCTCAACCCAATACTGTGAATGGGCATAAACTTATGTTATAACATGAAAAAATATAGCAAGTAAAATATATAATGGCCAAAAAAAATAAGTAAAGAAGATATAATCGGTTTGACCTATGCCGTCACAAATACATGTAAAATACTTTTAAATAGATGTGCAAACGCCTTTTTAAAAATATATTTACCGAATCTTTGAATACTACTCCCAGTGTGCAGCCTGCAACCTCAACACATAAAATTAACGACAACACACCAGCATACTGAAAAGAGTAGAAAGATTCAATTGAAAATACAGCTGTAGAAAGCTAAAACAGTAATAAAACATTTATGGGATTCATGATTTTTAAAGTACTAGTAAGACATGTTTTTTTTTAAATCATGCAGATTAGGAGACTTCTAAAGCTGTTAAGTCATGAAAAAAGCCCTTTGCTTTGATCTGAAATCAATCAAATCAATATAATTTTGTCTTGTGATTTATAAGTGTTCAAACATAACGTTTCAACCCTTGGTTTCCAGAAGTGAACATCTAAGAATGCAAGTTCTATATACTTTAGGACAATTATCTTCCTCTCCTTTATAGGATTAAACAACGGGGAGAATATTTCCTAAGATTTTATTGATTTCGGTGAAAAAGATGGTTTTGTGGTCGAGTGAATGACATTTGATTGAAATCAATAAATCCCAATCTGCAATAAAGCGTATAACAGCTTGTAACAAAAAATGGTGTCAGCTGTACATTTTTGCTGTTGGCATCTTTCTTTTTGTTCCAATTTTCATTGTATAGCCTTACGTAGATCTCTGTAATGACTGTACTCTTGGAAAATATATGAAAAATATATGAATATATTCGCACTACAACATGTACACATTTTTAAATTTGGTTCATGGATGTGTTGTCAAATGTCTTTGAAAGCATGCGAATTGCGACTAAGTATAATTTATACTCGATCAGTGAACGTGTCTAATCATAATTATCATACTGTATTTTATATACATAACATTTTATGAATGCTAAAAAACATAAATGTACTTATGGAAAAATACATCCCGGTATGCACTTACAAAGCCAATACAACATGCACTCTGCGAATGTGTCGCAATAATACCCACTATTCCAAACACGAATATGGCGGCACCCGCTGTAATGACTAGGTATATACTCGTTAATAAATATGACTGGTCCATTATTGAAAGTTCTCGTACACTTGAGAGTTCTAAAACACTTGGATTCTCTAAAAGTACCCATATCCCAAGTCCCATTGCAACCGTCCCAATGGCCTGAAAATGAACAAGAAAAATTTGAATAATTGAAGGAAAAACAATGCAATCATTTTGTCAAATGGGGTATGGATAAAAACATAAAAACAATAGCAGCTACTAAAATACCCAAGATGTGGCACTTCTTACGATGACCATAGATTGGGTATGTTGTCTTTGTAGTACATACTTTGATTGGCATTATTTAATGCTAATGTAGAACTTACTATGATGGGTATGTTGTGGCAGTATTCATTCTGATTGCTATGTTGTCTATGTAAAGAATTTACCACGTACGATTGATATGTTGTTTATATATGTACATGTAGTACTTACTATGATGGCTATGTTGTCTATGCTGTACTTACAGATATAGGTATGTTTTCTATGTTTTACTTACTATTATTGCTATGTTTTCTATGCAGTACTTACTATGATGACTACTACAGTATGTTGTCTGTCTATGTTATACATGTACTTACAACGATTGGTATGTTGTCTATATGTAGTACTTACTATGATGGCTATACCATCAATTGACTTCGAGTGTTACTAGTACCTGTATGTTGTTTATGTACTGCTTACTTTGATGGCTATGTTGACTATGTAGAGTTCACTATGGTGGGTATGTTTTATATGCAGTACTTTCTATGATGCGTATATGTTGTCTATGTAATACTTGCTATGATGGGTATATTATCTATGTAGTACTTACTATGACGGGTACATTACATACAATGATCAAACATTTAAGACAGGATATATAATCGGCAGTCATTGTTAATCCAATCTGTAAAAGAGTAAATAATTGTACTTAAGAAAATTAAATACATAATTATTTATATTAGTACATGTTTTGTTATTATTTCTAGATAATATCGTTCGAAAAAAAATTACCGAAAAAAAAGTCTGCAATTTTAAGATATTTGATATTGAGAGCTTATAAATCTTGTACTGAAACAAATCTACAACTTTTTCGTTGAACTTCTATAAAAAAGCAAATTTATGAAATAAAATTTAAACAGATCTACCTACCACGCTTTCTTGTATGCCCACACGAAGAAAAAATAATCAATCCTCTTTAGAATTTATAAGATTTTAAAAGTTTTAAGACATTGATTCATCTTGTCTTTTAACTGCCGGACAACGTGAGGTAGTCCGCGCAGTCTCAGACAGCCACTTGTAACAACAATGGAATGGGGCGTAAGACAGAAACTTAAAGCAATGATTAACGGATGCATCATCGGGAAAGTGGGTGCATTCATCCTGCATACCAATACCGTACTTTTGTGTTTTATTTATTTGTGCAATCCCTTTTCTTATTTCCTACTGAGCAATGTTATTCAACAACACTAAATGGTTATTTTATTTTCCTTGATATTTATTTATTTTGATGAGATTACGTCATTAATAGTTTTTTTGAGTGAACAAAATGGAATGTATATTAACCTAAACATGCAAAATGCAAAGTAGTCATTTGGATTCTCGAGTTGTGCATTTTCCTTCATATAAATATAAACAAGTGAAGGAAGGCTTAGTCATATTGATCGTCATTGCAGGCGTTGTAATCAATGTTCTTTGTCATTTCTTCATTAGACACTGGTCGCCCGCGTGGCGCAGTGGTTAGAGCGTCTGCTCTAAAATCGCGAAGTACGTTGCGGGTTCGAATCCCACTTTGGGACACGGAGACCGGGACACCGGTCCTTCGGATGATACCGTATAAACCGAGGTTTTCCATGTCGCAGTAGGTGCTGGCACGAAAAGATCCCTCACTGCTCAATGGCTCTCAGTGGCGAATAAAGGATAAAGGATGTAGCTATCCACCAGCAATGGACCTTAAATTGCAGGCAATGGTGGCGTCTCCATACGAGTGAAAACTTCTCGAGGGACGTTAAACAACATAAAATCAATCAATCATCCTGAGAAACTGATACTTTTTTCTATACCAATGAGTTGACTTACATTAAAAGAGGTTAACTGGAAATGTGAATCCAAGTAAGAAAAATATTACTGTTTAGAGATTAAATTACTCACCAGATTTTCAAAACTGTGTAGTGTTGTCTATTAATAATTAATATCGTTGACTTTTAAATTCAAGTTTGGTAAGCTGCGGCGTATGGTAGTTCTAGTATCCTGTATTAGAATTATCCCGCCAAAAAATCTTCTTATCTAGAGTAATCTTACTAGAGGTGGATCATGTGCCTTACAGAAAGAAAAATCCCTGTTTACCGGTCAAACCCTCCATGAGCCCAATGTATTTAACAGGTAGCTGGAACAGTCCGTAATTAAATTCAGCATGAATCAGAGGCCTTAAAATTTGGTACAAAACGTCAGACAAATTACAACTCAATTAAAGGTTATATTTTATTAAAAAGGTCATTATAACTGCCCTAGAACATACAAATGCTGGACTACAGACGAGAGAGTTAAAACTCTGTAGCATTAACTTATCTGTCAGTAGCCTGTTGCAGTTTAAAAATTGGTTGTATTTGGAGTTTATTCTAAGTACCGCATTAGTTACGTGTAGGAGATGTAAACTGATGCGGGTAATAGCGGAATATTACTTATAATTATACATGAATAAGGAAAGTTGATGATGAAAAATGTAATTAAAAATCTTCTCATTTATTACACTATTTAATTCAATTTTTTTTTTTGTTGGACCTACGCGTCCATGTCAAAAACACAACCGAATATGAAACAGATGTGGCAGACTCCATGATGTCTTTTATTTTAAGTTCACTGGGATATATCGAGTCGACATAAGTGAAGGACATGTAAATTTCATTTTTTTAATTTTAACTTTATTATTTATTTAAAATTATTAGTTTAAGTATATACGAGTAATACATAACAACATAAGGTCGCCAGCGTGGCGCAGTGGTTAGAGCGTCTGCTAGATAGAATCGCGAAGTAAAGAGTTGATCCTTACGTCGCTTGTTTTTGAAACCCACTGTGGGAAAACCGGTCCTTTGGATAACGTATAAACCGAGGCCCCGTGTCACAGTAGGTGCTGGCAGGATAAAGATCCCTCCCTGTTCAATGACCCTGAGTGTCGAGTATAGGACAAATTTGCAGCTCTTCACCGGCAAATGGTGGCGTCTCCATATGAGTGAAAAATTCTCGAGAGGGACGTTAAACAATATTCAATCGATCAATCAATCATAACAACATAAGAAAACAAGATGTGTTTGTAAAACACTGATGCCCCCGTATGGCAACATAGCAAAGATTAAGCTTTTCTTAAATGCAAATTTAATTAATTGGTAGTAGGGTATTCTCACTGGAAAACAATTGTGAAATTTGAAAGTAAGCTAGTGTTACAGTTTTAAATAAGTACAAAAATCTCCAAGGTCAAAAGGTCAATGTAATTAGTATCAAATGAAAGGTCTTGCCACATAAAATACTTATGTAGAGCACGAAAGCCCTAACCCTAACCGTTCAGAAATTATGGTCAACGTTCAATTTCTTAAAAAATAGGTCAAACTCCAAGGTCAAGGTCAAAGGGTCAAAGTTATTGTTACAAATGAAAGGTCTTGTCATAAGGATCAAATATGTAAAGTATGAAAGCACTAGCCCTAACTCTTTAAAAGTTATGGTCAAGGTTTGCTTTTTTCAAGTAGGTTAATCTCAAAGGTCAAGGTCAAAGGGTCAAAGTTTTTGGTATCCAATGAAGGGTCTTTTCACAAGGATTACATATATGAAGTATGAAAGCCCTATCCCTTACCGTTCAAAAGTTATGGCCAAGGTTAAAGTTTTTTCACAAGAACGGAAATCTACAAGGTCAAGGTCAAAGGGTCAAGGTTGTTGGTATCCAGTAAAAGGTCTTATAACAAACGTTGCATTTGTGAAGTATAAATGTCCTGGTGTCTACTGTTCAAAAGATATGACCAAAGTAAAATTTTAAAATTTTCATGTAAAAGTGGGTCAAACTCCAAGGTCAAGGTCAAAAGGTCAAATTTGGTGGTACCCAAAGAAAGGTCTTGTCACAAGGAATACACATATGAAATATGAAAGTCATAGCTCCACTAAATCAAAAGTTATGGGCAAGGTTAAAGTTTTTGCGGACAAACAGACAGCTCGACAGACAGACAGACAGACGGACACGACAAAAACTATATGCCCCCGAAACTTCGTTTACGGGGGCATAACTAGTCGAGTAAAGAGCCACAGCAAGTGCCTCCTTCTCATGTAAAATTTTCTTGATAAATTTTGCTTCGTTGGCTAATAAAGGCACATAATTAGTGCCAATATTAATTTTCAGTATATAATTTAAGCCCCTCCCCCTCTACAGTACCCATGATCCAGAGGCTTTGGAATTCACTAAACTGGAAGAGGGACCATTGCTCATCATAGCGTTAAGCAAGTGTTAAGGTATTTAATCAATATGCTTAATACCTAGGAGCAGAGGAAATTTTTTTAAAGAATTCATGCAATTTCAAATCCTGGTATATAACTCATATAGCCCTACCCTAACTCCAGAACCCACTGACCCTTGGGCCATGAAATTGATACAAAGAGGCACCCTTCCTCATCATAAATATATATGTAGTTAGTTTACATGTATTTAGTACTCAGGAGCAGAGAAGATTTTTAAAACAAGAGGCCCATGGGCCACATCGCTCACCTGAATAACTTTGGCCATGCTGTTCTTTACCAGATTTCCCCCTTGTAATATCTATTGTGACCCCGCCCTACCCCCGGGGGTCATGATTTAAATAATTTGGAATCCACACTACCCCAGGATGCTTCCACATAAATTTCAGCTTTTCTGGCCTTGGTAAGAAGAATTTTATATATAATTATATATATATATCAATGTAAAACTTGGATTCCCTATTGTGGCCCCGCCCTTCTCTCGGGGATCATGATTTTTATAATTTAAAGTCTACACTACCTTAGGATAACAGTTTCAGCTTTTATGGCCAAGTGGTTCTTGAGAAGATGATTTTTGAAGAATTTTCCTATATAATTCAATGTTAAATTTTGAATCCGTATTGTGGCCCTGCCCTACACCCTGGGGGTCATTATTTCAATAATTTAGAATCTACACTACCCCAGGATGCTTTCACCTAAGTTTCAGCTTTTCTGGCCCTGTGGTTCTTGAGAAGATTTTTTAATGACCCCACCTTATTTTTGTCTTTTCTTGATTATTTCCCCTTGGAAGGGAACTTGGCCCTTCATTTTCAAAATTTTAACTTCCCTTCATCCAATGATGCTTTATTCCAAGTTTGGTCAAAATTGGCCCAGTGGTTCTTGAGAAGTTGAAAATGTGAAAAGTTTACAGACGGACAGACAACGGACAGAAGGTGATCAGAAAAGCTCACTTGAGCTTTCAGCTAAGGTAAGCTAAAAAATAATGGATTTTACTTAATATAAATATAGCCCCGCCCTGACACCAGAACCCTTGACCCTGGGACCATGAAATTCACAATTTTAGAAGACACCTTTCCTTGTGTACTTACTTTGTTTACCAGGTAATACCCAGCAGCAGAGGAGAAGATTTCAAAGAATTAATGCAATTTCACTCAGTAACCAATACAGTCATGCACTAGTTAACACTAGAACCCCTGACCCTGGTGCCATTAAATCCATAATTTTAGAAGAGACATTCTTCCTCATTATAACTAATGTACATGTATGTAGTTAGTTTGTTTAAAACCCAGCAGCAGATGAGAAGATTTTCAAAGAATTTATATTTTTTCACTATATAATAGAGACCTGACCTAACACTAGAACCCTGACCCTGGAGCCATGAAATTCACAATTTCAGAAGAAGCACCCTTCCTCTTCATAACTGTGTGTGTAGATAGTTTGTTTAATATCCACAAGCAAAGGAGATTTTCAATGAATTAGTGCATTTTCAATATATTTACTACAGGTATAAATATCATAACTTTTTTTACAAAATGAAATTTTTATAAATCTATAGCTATAAGCATTCTAAATGCGTTGTTAGATATTAATTCACCCAACTTCTTTACATTTTTATAGATGGAGCATTTGCTTTTTAATCAATTGCAAGTTTAGACTGTATGAAGTGCAGAAAAGTTTATATAGTTAGATGCTATGAACTTTTGAAAAAATTGGCTTTTTTGCGTTTTTCAAAAAAAATTCTTTGGTTTTTGTAGGAATCCACATCTCATTTACACCATTTCTAGAATATGCTGTAATACAACACGTCTTTATTGTTAAAGTATCTCATTAACCGCATTATTCTTTATATACAGATTAAGGACAGAGCCATGGTAGAGCATTTGATTTTTTTAAAAAGTTTAGAAATTCAGTATAGGTGGGTGCAAATTAATCAGTTTTGTTTGTATGAAATAAAACATAACAAAAGCCTGTCATTTAAATATATTTAATTATCATTTCAATTACAACAAATTCATAATTTCTGATAATTAAATATTTGAAATGAAGGACCAGTAATACATTTTATAAAAGAACCTTCTTTCCAAAATTATTCATTAAACAACCTCTGAGAATGTAGTTCTGTACACTTCTTTTTATATGGTACACAGGTATGTACTACTGATCAAATCTAGCTGATCATTTGAGTTCAGTAAAAAAATTATTTCCCTTGTATGCTAAATACAAAATAAATATCAATATCAGTTTTATTAAACTTTATGTACCCCGTTAAAGTGCACTTTCCCATTTAGTTATCATCAAGTCAAGTACTTTGAGTACATCATAGAGCACTTTCATGACCTTAAATAAATACAATGAGACAGTTTTCCTAGCAGTATAAAACAACCATTTTATATTACAATCAAATATCAACTTGATCAAGAAGGATGCTAGACAAACATTTTCCAAGAAATTTTAAAATCAGAATATAAAACCTATGACTCAGTAGACTTAACATAATGCTGACACTAGTACATGTACATGTAACTTTTATCATCTCAGAAAAAATAGCACTGCTATCAGTCACTGAAAGAAAGGATTCTCCTCAAAATGAACACTATGTCACAAGATAATGGCAGTCTTAGGATTGGAGGATATAGGGTATGTTACTATGTCCTTATCCTCCCCTACCCTGGTTCTGTCTGTGATATATAGGGTCTGCTATCCTAGAATGTCTATATCTCCCTCTCCATCCCCCGGCTCTATCTCCGACACTGACAGAACTTCTTCTCTGGCAAACAGACCACTACGTTTCTCTTTCAACATCTGGCGGTACTCTTTCCGCTGTCGTTGCTTGTAAAATTTCTGTCTTGCTTTCTTTTCCTGTGTAACCTGTTTCTAGATTAGAGGAAGTATGAGTATTACAATCTAAAATTCCAGGAATTACTGTTTCATGTTTCAAGAAGTGAACAGTGTAAATAAATATATTTTTCTTCTGCGGGTGTTACATGAAAGTTTTATTAAGCCTGCATGTAATCTATATATATGGTGTAATCATTTTAGTTAGGGTAAATTTCCATGGATTGCCCAAAATTTACAACTTCAACCCTATGTCAAGACATTTATATTTTGCAGTTTTAAGGTTCCTTTGCAAAAATTAGTTCAACAATTTTAAATCAATTGTCTGCTAAAGATAAGCCATGAAACCCACACAAACTGAATCTCTTTAAAACAAGAGCTGTGTTTGTAAAAACACTTATGCCCCCCTTTCCCCCCAAATTGGAAATTTTCTAAGTCCAAAAGGGCATAACTCTGTCAAAAACGGCGCGGTTGTACCCAAAATAGAACTCACTGTATATACATGTATTCATCTGATATATCTGTATACTAAATTTCATTTCAGTAGGTGCAACCTCTGCGAAGAAAACAACGGAAACTCAGTCTATGCGAAAGTGTTTTTTGCCGCACAGGACATTCGGTCCTGTGTAATCAATCAACACACAGGACCAAATCAAATTTTGTCAGACCGAAAAACCTAATGTAAACAAATGAAACGTGAATATTAGTGATGGAAAATGATTATCGGTTATAATCGGTTGGGCATAATCGATTAATAATTGTAGAAAAGTTAAACTTATTAAACTTATTCAAATTTCATTCAGGTTTTAACAAAACAAAATCATTTACCTAATTACATATAATACTCAAAAATGTTTATTAATATTTCTTTTAAAAAGTGGAAAATAATGTTTCATTACTTTAAACAAAATCAATATATTGAAACAGAATGGGAATTTATTTCGTTAAAAATTCCAGTCAATGGGTATATTACTGATATTTGTCCAACCTTTCATTACATGTACTTATTTCGTGGGATTACAAGTTTTAAAAGTAGTTATCCAGAGACTAGACTTGTTATTCTTGATTATAGTAACGTTTACATATTGTCTACACTTAAAATCTTTTCCTTTGTATGGTAAAACATCGTATTATTGTCCCTTTCCTGTTATTAGTCTGACGGGCTCTGACCCTATATTCAATCATGGCGGTAAAAAAAAAACATGGAAGTGATTTCTTTTATGTTTTAAACATTCATCACTACTTTAAAGCTCTTTGCACTTGGATTTGGTAATAAAATTAAAGTATGACAATTTTATTTTTTGTCAGCGATGTCGGCAATATTTATTTTATACTCTGAGACATCGAACATTCTGGTCCGGTTTTAAAAATGATGCATCGGACCAGAGGCACTGCACATCGGTTAGGACCGACGGTCCAATGTCTTTCGCGTAGACTGGAAACTCTAAATAATTGGAATTGTTCTAAGTCCACGGGGCATAACTCTGTCAAAAATCGTGCAACAGTACCCAAAACAGAACTTGACCTAGATATTTATCTGATATATCTGTATACCAAATTTCATTTCAGTATGTGCAATGGTTGTGAAGAAAATGAATGGAAACTAAGTGGACTGACAAACAGCACCAAAGCATATCATATGCCTTCTTCGAAGGGGGCATAATAAACACTGTCTTACTTAAATCCTATTATTCCCTGTTTATATTTTACCTTATTGCTTTGTTTACTGTGTTTCTTTGGTGAGATGTTAGAATTGCCTTCGTTTGGTATACTAGGGCTCTGTGCATGTCCAGCTATGTAGTCCTGAATTTTCTGTAACTTTTCATCATCTATGGAGTATATATCTATGAAAACAAATTAAAGTAACATAAGTTATCTGTGATTATGAAGCTCAACTGAATGAATATTATGTAGAGCTTTGGCTAATCTTGGGTAATCAAAGATTATAAAGCTCACCTTAAGGAATGTTATAGATCTATAAGTAAGGCAAATCATACATCATATTTTTTCCTAGTTAGTGTGCATCCCAAGATCAATATCAATGCAAGTTTCTATTTAGTAAAACTTATAAATACTTTGAAATGGACCTGCTCTAAAAATTTTTATCTATTCATTCATCCAAAAATTTTTGATCAATTCTAATATGCAAAGAATGTCCATCTATGGATCATTGATACATTATCCATGATGCAAGTTTAATCATAACAAACCATATGATCATAGAACTTCCCCAAAAGCATTAACCTTGTAACTCATCTGGACAATTGTTGATTAAGGTCAGATTCAGCATGAACAAGAGATGTTTGTAAAACACTTATGCCATCCCCCCCCCACCGTATTGGAATTTTTCAAAGTCCAAAAGGGCATAACTCTGTCAAAAATGGCACGATTGTACCCAAAACAGAACTTGACCTAAACAGTCATCTGATAAATTTGTATACTAAATTTCATTTCAGTATGTGCAACCTCTGCAAAGAAAATGAACGGAAACTTGCAAATAATTGGAATTTTGCCAAGTCCAAGGGGCATAACTCTGTCAAAAATGACACGATCGTACCCAAAACAGAACTTGACCTAGTTAGTCATCTGATAAATCTTTATACCAAATTTCAATTCAGTATATGCAACCTCTGTGAAGAAAATGAACAAAACTTGCAAATAATTGGAATTTTTCTAAGTCCAAGGGGCATAACTCTGTCAAAAATGGCGCGACCGTACCCAAACAGAACTTGGCCTAAATATTCATCTGATATATCTGAATACTAAATTTCATTTCAGTATGTGCAAACTCTGCAAAGAAAATGAACGGAAACTGCAAATAATTGGAATTTTTCCAAGTCCAAGGGGTATAACTCTGTCAAAAATGGCGCGACCGTACCCAAAACGGAACTTGACCTAGATATTCATCTGATATATTGGTAAATGACTAAATCAAATTTCATTTCAGTATGTGCAACAGTTGTGGAGAAAATGAACGGAAACTAAGTGGACCGACAGACCGACTGACAGACAGCAGCCAAGCAATATGGCCCCTTTCTTCGAAGGGGGGCATAAAAACAAGATTGAAAGTTTCCATCCTTGTGGAAGTTATACAGTATTATGTTTTCCTTATTTAAGACCTACTGAAAACTTACTAAATGATTCTACATCATTTGTCATGAAACGGTACACATTGTTAACATGGTTAAAGCCGCTTGGTCCGATTCTAATCGCTAAAAAAAGATATTCGTTTTTCTTCTTGAAAAATAATTGTCCATAAATCATTTCAACTTTTGTCAAATTATATCCCCAAAGTCTTTTTCTTTTTAAAGATATTAAAGTTCAAAAGTTAAAAAAATAATTTTTGTTAGGTCACACAAAAAATAATCCTTTGTTTACATTGCGTGAAATCACCTTCGAAAATTAAATTTATCGCTTACAGGTATAACTCATGAAGAACAAACCCGAGCATTTTTTCCACAACAAAGATTCTAGCCCTCGTTACTAAACTCCTTTTTTTTAAAAATCTTTAAAAATATCTGATTTTCCTTTATTCTGTTAATATGCATATTAATATAAAAATTACTATGGATTATATTCAGTTAATTTCTTAATTTTTAAAAGATATATCATGACTTAGGATTCTACTAATGGAAAAAAATACTCGGGTTTGAATTCTCTTCATAATTAGATATAACCGATAAAAGTATTTTTTTCAAAGGTGACTTCAAAACAGATCTTAATTTCCCGTCAGGAAATGCTGTTTGTCAACAAGGTTTTTGGTCTATGTTTTACATGTAAGGATAGTTGTAATAAACTATTAAATCAATCTTATAATTAATTTTTACATATTATCTATGTAATGACATACTTTTATTGTTTAAGACAAAATTTGCTGTTTCGGATGAAGCGGCTTTAAGCAATCAGTGCATCTGTATATACAGACCTATAACGAACTCCTTGTCTGTTGGTGATACATGTGCTGTTGGGTTTATAATTCGTATGACCTCCAATTGCTCTCGGAGACCCAATTCATTACTGATTACTCGACTAAGGTCCTCAATGACTGTTGTTTTTACATCGTCAGGCAGTGTGCTCCTAGAAAATAAAAACTTAGCCTAGAAACATTTAATTCCTTTTATAATACCAATTTTTTTTTTCAAAAATCTGTGATGGTGTTCAAGCCTTCCTAATGATACAAGCATCACTGCAAAATTGTCAAAATATCACATCCCAGACCCAGAGACGCTAATATATTCTATATGATATGTAAGCAAAATCAAAATATTTTTAAATATTATGTAATACTGAAAGACAACTAGAACTGCCCAATAGGGACAAATACCCCCGCTGGGTTTTCAGAGTAGGTGCCAATTCAGAAATATCTTATGGATCTAGTAAGAGGTGTTCACTATTGTCTAATAAAGTGCCCCGCCACAGCATGATACGCCCGTCAAATATTGTTCAATAATCATAAATTGGTTAGGGTGCAAGAAAATCAAGTAACCTTGATTAACAGATTGACACAGATTTCAATGATCTAATTTCCATTTCTTATCATGTTTAAAATATTGTACATACATCTCTAAGAGACTTACAGTGTAGGGATTAATTAAAACAAATAATACATCATATAATTCTAAACTGGCTGCATACATGTTAACTCTCCCGATTTAGGCGGGAGTCTACCGCTTTTTCACTCCATCTCCCGCCTACCGATTTAATTCAGAAATCTACCGCTTTTCTACAAAAGCTGCGTCTACAGTATTTTTGGTTCGCTTGGGTATCCATTTTTGAAGCCACTCTCATGAAATCTCGCTAGATATCGCGTGATTTGACTCGGAATCATACAAACGCTTTTTTTGTACATAGATTTCAAGCACGGATTTGACAACGACAACAACACAAGACTACCAATGATTACATTGGTTACGATAAATTAATCAACATCCTGCCATGAAAAAGGAGATACAGCTTTTAAGAATTATATGAAAACATTTGACATCGTCTTTAAAAGCACAGAAGCTCACAACTTTATCATTAAAGTCAATAGAAATCACTCGATTGACCAAGCCATGTGGCACATCTCTACTTTCGTTTTCGATCATCGCGGGAAATCTGATTTATATAACGAAAGATAGGAACTTGTTTTAGATCTAGATTAAACCATGTCATCATTTGTTTCGTTTAAAAACTGAATGAACATTCAGAATTATTGCTTCTAGGCTATATCAGCAAAGATCACTCTTCAAAAGGCTAAGTAAAGCAGCCAATCCAAGCAAAATGATGAGCATGAAAAATATTTGAATTTGTACAATTTATGTCAAACTTAATGTGTTTCTGTCTTCTTCTTTGCTGTTGATATTTAAGATTAATTAGTGTAGGTACCTTATTTCATTTAAGGCTTATAATATACATGTATATTACATGAAAGATATCGATAATCCAAGCGTTAAACAACACGCGCGCAATGCTACCGCTTTTGAGGTCTGAATCTCCCTCTTTTTCATCACAATAGGTTAACATGTATGCTGGCTGTGTTAGAGCTTAATAAATATCCATCTGCAGCTTCAAATTGTTTATTGCATATTTTATGAAATAATGGAAATGCAACAGTCTAATAAAAAAAAAATCAAAAATTAATTATTCTTTAGACTATAAAATTCTAAGTGAGAGATGACTGCAATTTTTGCAAATATATAAAAATTGAAATGTATTTTTTTTTTCAATGAACACATGTATAGTTTAATTTTAATTATATACAATACTAATTCAGTTTTAATCATACACTAAAACATCAATTTGTTTTAATTACATTACACCAATTGAAAGATCTTTATCTGGACTACAGCCATCAAGAACTTTAATTAACACAAGCAACTATAAGGTCATTTCTTTTTGCCCAACTCCCAAGAGATAAATTAAGATTACACTGCATGATCGGATCTAGAGATGCTCTTGCCAGTTAACTCCCGATAATGAACTCATTAATTTCTCTCTAATTTGACATGCACATTTCTGCTATCAAAATTCTCCTTGACCAGTGCTTGATAATTATGCCCATGGGACAAACTGAATTCCTCTCAAAACATTAACATTTGTTACAGAATTTGCTGTAAAGTATACGATGAAAAAATAAGTTACTTAATTTAGCATTTTTTAATAAGGATACAACTATATTTTTACATTTTTTAGGATTATGAAATTTAAAATTTTAAAGACTTAGTTTTTTTTAAAAAATCACTTAAATTAAAGGTCAACGTGACCTTGAAATAGGTCGTGACACCCAAGATGCATAAATTGTCCAAGTTTGATGATTGTAAGTCTAATAGTTTTCTAGTTATGAGCAAAACAAAATCACAAAATAAAAAAGAAAAAACGCCTGTAAAATGCAGAAAAATCATTCAATCATGATGAAAATATCAGGTGCACACCTTCATATGGTGAATAATAAGTGTATAAATTTTCAGACAAATCCATCCAACAGTTTCTGAGAAATGGTCCAGACAAAATCTTGTCTACAGACGGACAGAGAGACGGACATGGTGATTCCAATATACCCCCCTAAACTTCGTTTGCGGGGGTATAACAAACAGGATGGATATTTGGTCAATTAGGTGACCATAGTTTGATTTTTTTTTTATGGATCTTCCGACTAACAAAAAAACCCTGGAACTTTTCAAGCCACTTATGTCAACCCCTGTTTTATAACAGCAAACCAAACACATAAACAAGAGGCCCATGGGCCACATTGCTCACCTGAGAAGCTTTGACCATTATGTTCTTTACCAGATTTCCTCCTTGTAATACATAATGCATCCCCACCCTACCCCACTGATCATAATTAAGACATTTTAAAATCTACACTACCCCAGGATCCTTCCATGTGCACATAAGTTTCAGCTTTTCTGGCCCAGTGGTTCCTGAAAAGAAGATTTTCAAAGATTTTTCCTATATATTTCTATGTAAAACTTTGACTCCCCATTGTGGCCCCACCCGTCCCCCAGGGGTCATGATTTGAACAAATTAGAATCTACACTACCCCAGAATGCTTCCACATAAGTTTCAGCTTTTCTGGCCCAGTGGTTCTTGAGAAGAAGATTTTCAAAGATTTTTCCAATATATTTTTATGTTAAACTTTGATTCCCCATTGTGGACCCGCCCTTCCCCCGGGGGTCATGATTTGAACAATTTAGAACCTACACTACCCCAGGATGCTTCCACATAAGTTTCAGCTTTTCTGGCCCAGTGGTTCTTGAGAAGAAGTTTTTCAAAGATTTTTCCTATATATTTCTATGTTAAACTTTGATTCCCCATTGTGGCCCCGCCCTTCCCCCGGGGGTCATGATTTGAACAATTTAGAATCTACATTATACCAGGATGCTTCCACATAAGTTTCAGCTTTTCTGGCCCAGTGGTTCTTGAGTAGAAGATTTTCAAATATTTTTCCTACATATTCCTATGCAAAATTTTTGATTCCCCATTGTGGCCCCGCCCTTCCCCCGTGGGTCATGATTTGAACAATTTAGAATCTACAACATACCAGGATGCTTCCATTTTTCCTATATATTTCTATATAAAACTTTGATTCCCCATTGTAGCCCCGCCCTTCCCCCGGGGGTCATGATTTGAACAATTTAGAATCTGCACTACCCCAGTTGTAATGGCTCTCCACATAAGTTTCAGCTTTACTGGCCCAGTGGTTCTTGAGAAGAAGATTTTTAATGACCCCACCCTATATTTGTCTTTTCTTGATTATCTCCCTTGCGAGGATATGTCCCTTCAGTTTAACAATTTAAATTCCCCTTTACCCACGGATGCTTTGTACCAAGTTTGGTCAAAATTGGCCCAGTGGTTCTTGAGAAGAAGTCGAAAATGTGAAAAGTTTACAGACGGACAGACGGACGACGGACAAAATGTGATCAGAAAAGCTCACTTGAGCCTTCGGCTCAGGTGAGCTAAAAATGTACACAACTATGAGTGCAGAGTATCTTGTTATGTAGTTTCGACAAAAAACAGCATTTTGGCTTCAAAAATAAACATTTCATTTAAACATTAGTAAGCTGCACCTAGAAACATACCCGCGCTTCGGCATGTTCAGTCTCGCGCTGTATTGGTAAGCAAAGTTGCCCATGTGATCGAGGAAATTCGGGACTATGTGACTAGCGACTGTCACGCAGTAAGACATATAACCGCAATATCAACACTCAAAGATAGTAATGACAAAGCTTATGTACTTTCATAAATAGCCTACATGTACGTACCCATGTTTGTTCTGTTTAAGTGTTTATTCAAACCAGAGTTAGCATTGATGATAAAATGCTAGAAAAGCAAAATTTGAGGATTTTTTTAATGAATTTGTGTTATCCAACTTTTCCCAAAATGACGATAATTTTCCCAATTTGAACGGCCCCGGCCCCCGTCCCAAAAAGTGGTGTCAGAGCCCTGTATTTTCACTATATAATCAATAGAACCCCGCCCTAACTCCAGAACCCCTGACCCTGGGGCCATAAAATTCACAATTTTGGTAAAGGCACTCTTGCTTATCGTAACTTTGCACTAAGTTAGTTTATTTAATGCCCAGGAGCAAAGAAGACGATTTTCAGAGAAATAATGCTTTTTCACTATATACTTTTTTAGCCCCGCCCTAGCACTAGAACCCCTGACCCCAGGGCCATGAATTTCACAATTTTGGTAGAGGACTCAATGCTGATATCAACCATGCAAACAGTTTGACTGCTTAATGTCCAGGAGTAAAGAAGAAGATTTTTAAAGATTGCATTAATTTGAGTGGTTTTGGCCCCACCCCTAAGGCCCAAGGGGGCGGGGACCATAACATTCACAATTTTTGTTCTCCTTCACCCATAGATGCTGTATACCAAATTTGGTTGAAATTGATTCAGTGGTTTCAGAGAAGAAGCTGAAAATGTTCAAATGTTAACACACGACGGACGATGAAGGACGAAAACGGATAGCAATAGGTCACCTGAGTTTACTCAGGTGACCTAAAAATTGACATATTTCTATACAGTAGATGTTCTTATCTGTGTACAAAATAATACCTTTTAAACTTACATATGCAAATTTCGAACCTCTAAGTTCTGTACAACCTTAAGCTTAATTTAATCTTTATTCCAATCCCTATATAGCAGAGCTTACCTTTTTCTGTCCTTGAGTGTACTTTCAGCCTTGTGGAGATTTTTTTGCATTTCCTTTAACTTGCTAGTCTCACTCTGTTGATTACTGAGGTATATATCCAGCTCTGACTGGGCAATGTTTAACTGTAACAAAAAAGTAATTGTCAAAAGATTTGGGGAAAAAAATCCATAAATTATGACAACCAAATTTTTTGACTTGTCTAAATACTTCAGTATCTTTAATACAAGTATGCTTAAATGAATCAAATTTGAAAAAAATCTCATTTCAAGTTTACTTTTGTATAAACAACTTTAGGCCATATAAAATTGAAATCTTGGTTCTCAGGCCCGCGCGCATCCGTTTTGAGGTAGCCGCATTGCCGATTTTATTGTATTTTTGATAAAATAACAAGATGTGTTTGTGAAACACTATGCGCCCTCTGTGACAACTCTCTGCCTCACTATCCCCCATATAGGTCACAGTCAAGGTCACAAGGTCATTGACCTTGGTCTTGTTCTGTAATGATACTTTATTAGTGGGGTATGCATACTAAATATAAAGTCCCTATCTCCTATGGTTCAAAAGTTATGGCAAAAAGTGGAAAAAAGTACGTAAGGGTTGCCCGCAACCCTGTGTCTCGCCTGCTGTCGCTGTGGTTAGTAAGAAATGATTGTCTGATAAACTGAAGCATTTATTGACATTTCAGAAGGAATAACTCAAAAAGTGGATCGAGTCATTTTGCTGGTTTTTAAAGAGATATTGTCATGGACTTAATAAGAACTGTAAAACGTTTCTATCTGGACTGACTATAGGTATATTTTATATGGATTTAATATATAACTTTTGCATACTGATGAACACAACATTTTCCTCTTAGTCAATGTGTAATGCACTGCATATGCCAACTGGTAAACAGAAAAGTAGGTAGGATCCAAATGCATCATGTAGGTTAAATATCTTCTGTACAGTTTAAAATTTCCATATTTCATATTATTCACAAGAGTAGGTAGGATCCAAATGCATCATGTAGGTTAAATATCTTCTGTACAGTTTAAAATTTCCATATTTCATATTATTCACAAGAGATAGATTGTTTTTTGTCCACTTTAAGTTTCTCCGAATAACTGCTGGAAATACTATGTACACTTTAAAAACACTGTATCATATGTTTGTGTTAGTAGTTCATAGCAAACCACAATGGTTTACACAACGTGTTATGAGTCGCAATAATTTGAACTTGCATTTTGAAATCAAATCCACTGTATATGTATCAAGTCATTCATGCAGAAAATGTAGGTGAAGATTACCTAATTATGGTACTGATATTGTTGGTTACCTATGATGTGTAGACTGACAAATTATCATGCCACTATAAGTTATAGTTGCTGAGATATGGACCTCCACCATAAATTTATGCAAAGTCACTCATGCGGAAAAATGTAGGTCAAGATGACCTAATTCTGGTACAGGCGTTTGTGGTTACCCATGATGTATCCACTGACTAACTATCATGCCACTATAAGTTATAGTTGCTGAAATATGAACCTCCATTATCAATTTAACCAAAGTCATTCATGCAGAAAAATGTAGGTCAAAATGACCTAATTCTGGTACTGATGTTTGTGGTTACCCATGATGTATCCACTGACTAACTATCATGCCACTATAAGTTATAGTTGCTGAAATATGAACCTCCATTATCAATTTAACCAAAGTCATTCATGCAGAAAAATGTAGGTCAAAATGACCTAATTCTGGTACTGATGTTTGTGGTTACCCATGATGTATCCACTGACTAACTATCATGCCACTATAAGTTATAGTTGCTGAAATATGAACCTCCATTATCAATTTAACCAAAGTCATTCATGCAGAAAAATGTAGGTCAAAATGACCTAATTCTGGTACTGATGTTGTTGGTTACTTATAACCTGTACAATGACAAATCATCATGCCATTATAAGTTATAGATGCTGAGATATGGACCTCCACCAAAAATTTAACCAAAGTCACTCATGCAGAAAAATGTAGGTCAAGATGACCTAATTCTGGTACTGACGTTTGTGGTTACCCATGATGTATCCACTGACTAATTATCATATCCCTATAACTTATAGTTGCTGGAATATAGGTCTTCACCATAAATTATCATGAAAAAACTAAGTCCAACTTAAGGAAAAAATACGGAAAAATTTGAATTTTTTTTTTCAAAATCATACTTGGGATATAAATTTTTATCCATACTGAATATTGTGTCCAAATTTCAAGAAGACTGAATAAAATTTGAGAAAGTTATTGCAGTTTATAAAACTTTGACATTTGGGTTAACCAAAAGTTAGGGATGTATCCAAAGTTAAAAAAGAGTCAAAATGAAATAAGAACTTTGTACCACAGTACGTAATTAAGGACTGTTGAGAACTTATAGCTTTGAAGGTATCAAAATATGGATTTTTGACAGGTGTACACAACTGGTATTAAAGAAACTGTTGCTGTCAAGGATATGTCTCTTGATACTTTCAAGGACAGATAACTGCCTTGCTTGGACATAATGGCGCAGGAAAAACAACAGCGATGTCAATGTTAACAGGTGTGATCTTCATGCCCATCATGTCAAAGGAAACTGCAATTCAAAAATTATCATGTCAGAGTGATTTTCTGTTTTTCAATTTAATATATTTTTGTTTTAAGTATTATTTTCTAAGGGAGCTTATTCCATCAACTTCCGGTTCTGCAAGAGTGAACGGATATGACATAAATGATGACATCAGTAGTGTGCGGGGAAGTCTTGGAATGTGTCCTCAGCATGATATTTTGTTTTTGACACGCTAACTGTAAAGGAACATCTAGAATTTTATTACAAAGTAATACAAAATACCCAAAACAGGCTTTTAAGAATGCTGTGTGCTGTTGTTCAATAAATAATTCAGATAAAATAAAGTCATAATAGATGCTTAACTTAAATAAATCACACAGCAGTAACATTTAAGTTATGCTCTCTGATATAGCTCAAAGGATGCAATAAATCCAAAATGAAAGAAGATATCACGAACACACTACGCATTTTCAAGATTGAGGAGAAACAGAATGATCTTGCAAGAAACTTATCTGGAGGACAAAAAGGAAATTATTGGTAGCCATATCATTGGTTGGAGGCTCAAAGGTATTTTTTTTTGTCCCCGCTTCCATTTAAAGTACCGACTTTCTGTTTCACACTTTTGTGTCCTAGCGATTTCTCGAGAAGCATTTAGTTTTGTTAGTGAAATTTAAGTTATCAACTCCTTTTGGCCAAGACCCCTATTGTTTGGGGAACAAATGTCAAGGTGATAAATTCATTAACTCGGTCTTTATTCAGACTTTATGATGAAAATGATGAAAAAACAATGTTCATTTTGTTCTTTGAAACTTTTGTTGAACTCTTAAGAGTTAAGTAAATAGATGTGATCCGTTAAATCCTTTGGTCTATCGTTTCATGATTAATACTTTCATTTTACAAATTTTGAAAATTAAAAGAAGAAATCTTTAATATGTAATACAATTTATTTGATTTACTAATTCCTTAAAATTGATATCAATAACACTTTGAATTTGAATCATTTGTATGTTTTGTTTTCTTGTATCATCATACATTTTATACATATGGTTTCTGAATATTGTTTAGGTAATCATATTAGACGAACCTACCTCAGGCATGGATCCCGGTGCACGGCGCCAATTGTGGGATATCCTTCAGAAATTTAAAGAGGACCGAACTATTGTTCTGTCTACGCATTTCATGGATGAAGCTGATGTTCTTGGTGACCGTATTGCCATCATGGCCGACGGAGTTGTCAAGTGCTGTGGTTCTTCATTGTTCCTTAAAAAGCTTTATGGTAAAAGCAATTTTATGATAGAATTATAAATCAGGATCCACTAAAAACAATTCACTACATAAAAAATCTCTGTGCAGAGTATATAGAGCTTGAAACAAAAAAATCTGTATAAAAGCTTTGCTTAGAGAAGAAACTCCGTATCATATGCTAGTAATGGAGATTTTAACCCTTTTCAGTTTAAGCACCGTTCAGGAATACAGCGTATATTTATTTCATTTATAAAATAAATCATAAATTACAGGAGCCGGATATCACTTAGTGATGGTCAAAGAACCAAGTTGCGATGCGACCAAATTATTAGAAACAATAAGAAGCCGTATTTCGTCTGCGTCTTTGGAAAGCAGTGTTGGGGCGGAGTTGTCTTTTCTTCTTCCCACAGAAGAGTTACCGTCCTTTGCAGACCTATTCACAAATCTTGAGGAAAATGCTTCAAGACTTGGGATAAGTGGCTTTGGAATTTCTGCGACAACAATGGAAGAAGTATTTTTGAAGTGAGCTAGTGACTTTTCCTTTGCTTTATCAAACCAAAACAGATTTAAATCTTCATGAAATTATCTTTATTATAGCTCAAACGCACTCTATTTGCAACTCCTTGTTGTAATTCTATTGTTGTCTAGATTTTTTGCTGAAAAGATGTCAATCGTCACGTCAACTTATATATATATATATATATATATATATATATATATATATATATATATATATATATATATATATATATATATATATATATATATATATATATATATATATATATATATATGATTATGTAATGGAAACGCCAAAGTCCGATGGCCGTTATCCTATGACGCGCGAAATTAAATGTAAATTGATGGTCTGACACGCCGAAGTCCGATGGTAATGTGTTTAACTCAACGTTTATGGCCACAATAATCCAAAGTCAACCTGACGCCATAAACGTCATAAAAGCAATCATTGGTCTGAAGAGCGCCTTGAAACAATTTTTATTATTTAATTTTGCTTATTGCACTTCTACAGACATTTTCTGTAATAACCGGTATATGGAAACAGTATAAACCAAAGTCTGGCGATGGCCACGCCCTTGATGGAAATAAAGTGCTGAGCATACGACAAAATTGCAGCTCTTTCCTATGATGACAAACTTAACTTTCGCGCGAAAATATACAACAATCAATCAATCTAGAGATATAAGGAAAACATGAACTACAAATCTAATGATTAGGGTTAGTCCTTGCATTGCTACAACCCGAGTGAATTATGACAACAATATCATTTCGCAATGTATCCAACTCAAGATATTCAGGTTATTGTTAATACACACTTAATGATAGAAGACAGGCATATTGGAACGCCTGAGAGTGAACAATTAGTTTACGTTTATTTATACTTAAACAAGAAGATGTCACAATAATCCAACCTGACGTCATAAACAAAAATTGTTTTTCCAGAAATTTGACGTGAAATAACCTCCTAAGAATTCGCGTCCCGCAGTCCAACTTTGCACTTCAAGAATCAAAAGCAGATATATATATATATATATATATATATATATATATATATATATATATATATATATATATATATAAAATTGTGGAAATCCAAAAATTGAACACACAAGAAAATTTTAACACGAAATATTATTGATTTTGCTTATAATGAACCACAAGGATTCTTGCACAAAAGAACAACTTTTCATATAAGAACAGACCAGTTAACCTTCACAATAAGAATAAGCAAATGAGCAAGAAAAACTCAGCAAATATGTAGAAAAAATAACCAAAGAATGACACAACAAAAAATGCCGGAATATGCAAAATTGGAATATACCCTAAAGAAACCATCTGACAGATCAAAACAGTTTACACAATTCTAACAGTAAACAAGAAAACCAAACAAGGAATAATTCGAAGAATAATTTTTTGTGGAAAGGACGCTTCCACAAGGGCCGCCAAAAACCATTCCGATTTCTGCAAATTTAGACAACTCAGAAGAAAGTCAAAATCAGAAAATCGATGTAAAAATTGTTAATTTATCTCGGAGAGATATTACAGAAGATGAAATGAAAATTCTAGACAGGGGTTTGAAATTTA